TCGAAGAAAAATTTTCATTATTAAGATAAATGTGATTATTACCATAGGGCATCACTAAACATATGCCAAATTCAATCTAACACAAATTCGTTTAGATAAAGAACATGTTAATTGTCCTGTAAAATTGTAATCTTTTTCTTGCTGAATGATATTTGCCACGATGTACATGATCATCATTTGCCTCTCATACTGGTAATACCGTGAAGTCATATTGATTATAATATCTCGATAAACGATAAACAGAATACTAATATATGTAGTTTTGAATATCGTTCAACATTTTTCAGCCAGCCGTTTTAGCATTTGGATAATTTGGGTAGATAACAGATACGATAAACAGGTACATGTTCACTTAATACAGATTTCATAATCAGAGGTGTGCTTCTTTCATGATAAAGTTTCGATAAAGGATATAAAGGATAACAACTGAAATCGACACTTCACAAGGATTAATGTCATGATTGCTAATTGGTTTACCGATACAATATGCGTTTGTCTCAAGTCATGTGTCACATGAACTTGCGTTTAGACACAAGATTAGTCGTCTGATCTGAAAATATACCGATTATTTCTTTTTTGATGTTATATTCCAAATTTAAACTGCCATTGCTTCTTAACTGTCTCGACCTGTTCTAGTGATTTTTAAAAAACATCAGAAGCATAAAAAGAGAGATAAGTCAGACAAATTCGGATATATTAAAAACGTACATTTAAAACTCGATTCAAAATTCGATACTAAAGTATTAATCAAAAGCCATAATTCGAAAAAAAAAGGACATACATGTATGCACATTAACGTATAATTGCTGACTTTTAAGTCATTTGGTCTCTGGTGGAAATTATATTATTGGCAAAAGCCGCAATCATACCACATTGTCTTATTTTTACATACTCTGCTATAGCCAAAGGCAATATGGAGAGAAAATTATCATTAGAAAAATATCAAATACAATTCTATACCAATAACAAAATGAAAGGATATGAAAATTAAAAACTGCTATACAACTCGGTATTCCAGAAAACATAATTTTTTAACAAGAGGGACGAAAGATACCAGAGGGACAGTCAAGTTGCATGGCCTTTTATAGCTTACTATACAAAATGGGTTTTGCTCATTGTTGAAGTGACTTTTATTTATTAACTTCAACGGCATTTGGTCTCTGGTCGAGAGTTGTCTCACTGGCAATCATACCGCATCTTCTTATTTTCATAAAAAAGACATTTATCCACGAGAGATCAAATGAAATGGATGTAGGCAATTATAGGCCATCGTACGGCCTCGATTATAACCGTATAGTCCGCTATAAAAGGCCCGACATGAAAAATGAGAACGGTTCAAACGAGAAAACTAACGGCCTAGTTTATAACAAAATAATTTACGAAAAACAATTATTACTGACATGAACCAACGACAATCACTGATCTACAGGCTGTCGATTTCGGACAGACATAAAAAGAATGTTGCAGGGCCAAACATGTGTGTAAGCGCTCAACCCTCCCCAAACTGGAACAGTGGTGTAACATCATAAGAATAAACTGTTAAAATTAGTTGCAATTGGCTTAATTCAAACGCAAATACAACTAACATAAAAACTAAAGACACAAAGCACCGATATAAGAGTATTCACAGTCCAAAGCCAATTACAACTAATAAATAAATTAATTTTCTTCCAGGTTTGTTATCAAACTATTTCTAAAAATCTTAATTCTAGAATTGTGGCGAAATACATCTCGACGATTTTGATTAAATTGGGACCTAACATTGGCAACTAGCATTGGTTGTTTATCATATATTCCAACTTATTCACAATGAAAGAAATTTTGTTATAATAATAAAACCACATTTCTTCATCTATACAACACTGTAAAATCTTTGCCTATGACTTTAAGAAGAAATTGTGCTGTTATTTGCTATGTTAAATATGATAAATGCGTTAAAAGATAAAAAGATATAGTAGTATATAATAATATTATATTCTACTATATCTTTTTATATTATATACTACTATATCTTTTTATCTTTTAACGCATTTATCATATTTAACATTGCAAATAATTGATATTTGCAGAAGTTTCTAAGAATTTTTCATAAGTGAATTGGTTTGGAGAGCATTCACTGGTCTTTAGGTCACTCTTCCACTCAGTGTTGTCCAAAGCTATCGATTAATGAATTTGCTTATTATTTTTGGTGAAACGTTTTTTGCATGCGTACATGCTGTTTAAATCACTTCATCTATTGTTATGATTAATGAAAATAACTACATACTAATTTGATAACTTATCCTAAATTGCAATTGAAGTAATTTGATTTTATCATATCTGATATTTGTTTTGATAGCTTTTTAAAAAAGAGTCCCGAATAATGAATGTTTTCATTATCATTCATGTTTAGATCACTTATCAAAGGTTCCCGATGGCCGAATAAGATCTTAAGCATTCATCAAAGTAATGAGTAAATAGTACAGATACCTTGTCCTTTTTCGACTTAGCGTAAAGCAAATAACAAGCAACCAATCCTCTAACGAAGAATTATTAGGTCATTGATGTAGCTGCCCCTCTGCATTTTTTCACCCTGTCAAAAAAGGGAATATGAACAAAGAAATATCGGTAGCACGCTTTGCAATTTCATGCAATGATGCAGTACTGGAATGATTCAAATAATAAATTGTCCCGTAAATTTCCAATTAACAAATGATGCTATTGTACGAATATTTATACATTGTAATGATATAAATGGAAATGTAACTGATACGTCAGAAAACAGCATCCAAACGAACTAAACAAAACATACAGTCTAAAATAATGGACCGGAGTTTATACAACATTCCATTCTAAAAAGCAGTCGAAAATATTTATGAATGAATTACTAGTAATTAGAGACTATTCAAAAGATTCAAGGTATGATGATAAATAAAAAAAACAATTCTTACAAAACTGTGTGGAATAGACAAAAATTAGTCATTGGAACAATTCATCGTAAGAAATTATAAATTCCAATAAATTCATTTCCAAAATTGTTGAATCTTACAATTAATCTCATTGTAGTAAAATAAAAAAGGCCTTCAACGATATTGTGGAGAGTTGCAAAAAATAAAATAACAAAAATACCGAACTCAAAGGAAAATTCAAAATGAAAAGTCTTTTATCAAATAGCAAAAACACTGCTATAGACTTTTGTTTAATGACAGTCTGATATGAATGCATTAACATCCAAAAATTCACTAAATAACAGTCATAAAAAGTTTGCAACAATATCAAAATGTTCGAATGTTCTACAATCTATATTACTATTCAACATTCTAAAGAAGAATGAAAAAGACACAAAAAAATAAGTTTTTGGAGCGCTGTAACGGAAACACCTTCTGCAAAGTCCTTAATTTCACTTCATGGTGTACTGACGCTTACCCTTTCAACACAACCAGTCTCGCGTCAATTGGAATTCATCCGAAAAAATCAGTTTATTTATCTCGGTTTGTAAATTCTAAATTAAGTTACGGGACTTGCTCATCAGTATATAACAATGAAGATAACATTTTATAAATTTGCATTTTACGAAGCGCTTTCCTGGATTTACATTCAACAGGAACGTTCAAAGCCAAATATTGAAAGCTAATGACGTGTAAGAACCAAAACACGTGGCAAACACGTAACCAAACATGCGGAAGATACCAAGGGGACATTCAACATTCATACTTCGAAGAAAAACTAACATCGCCATGGCAAAAAACGAAAAACGAGGAACAAATCCACATACCAGTACATAGAAAACTAAAGATTGAGCAACGTGTTCCGCACGGGTAAGCAGTTCTTTCTCCACATGTGGCACCAATCGTGTAACTTATGCAAGTATAAGTCCAGCAATGAGTCTTGCTAATTGATAAGAAGAGCTATATGACCAAAAGGGCCTGATATAATAGCCAAATCCGTTTGAGGTCAAATTTGTATGAGGGAGTTTATTACTGCCTTATGGAGTAAACTACTGTTGTCTCCTATATAATTGAGTTTAATCAAAATTTGAACATTTAACGACGATAAAACAATACCTTAAAATATACAAAGAAAATTTGTATTCTCGATTTCTTGTACAATTATAACAGAAATTAAGTAGATTGCTAAAAGTAATTATTCATTTATTTTTATACATCAGAATATTCGTTGTCATTGCGCATGAACACAAAAATCGAGTCAATAAGTAGCTTTTGGTAATACACAATATACATATCAAATAACCAGCAAACTTATACATTGACAGTATACTACATAAAAACAATATTAACAATGCAATATAAGAAAACTATATTTTCAATTAGTCTGCATTCAATGATAACAATATCGGACGAATATCAGCATATATATTGTAATTATCAAAACCAGTTTTATGTATACCCTTTTAAAGTAGATCATGTATGTTGATGAATCATAGCAAACCCCACAAATATATAGTGTTCACACTGGATACAATCACAGTAGTAAATTGACAAAATTTATATCAATGATTGAATAACTTTTATATGTTTTGATTTCTTACAAAAACAGAGAATTGAATTAACTTGCATTACAATAATATCTTTAAAGAAGGTAATGAGAAAGTAAATTGTGTTTATATATACCACACATGTAATATTTGTCAATTAACTTTCAGAAAGCAAAACAAAATTATTCCATAATGTTTTAAAAAATAACTGTTTTCATTTTCTGTTGCCGAGTTGACAGTAGGGAAAAAACTTGGACGTTACTTAAGGAATGACTGTAATATTTTTTCTGTCTATTCGAAATAACATAAAAAAGGTGGTGCACACTGAATAACCCGCATAGCGGGTTATTTTAACGTGTGCACCACATTTTTTATGTTATTTCGAATAGACAGAAAAAATATTACAGTCATTCCTTATAATTTAATTCTAAATTCCATTTTAAACCGGAGTAAATCATGAAAAAACGTTGACGACGTCACGATCACATGACAAAATTATGTCTATCATTCCTTATAATTTAATTCTAAATTCCATTTTAAACCGGAGTAAATCATGAAAAAACGTTGACGACGTCACGGTCACATGACAAAATTATGTCTATGAGCTGATAAACAAAACACCGTCAGCCAATCAGAATACGCGTCACATCCAAAATTAAACTATATGATAATATTTAATATATTAAAAGGTTATTCAGTTATATATTTATGTAAATGAAGAAATGAAAACGTGAAATGCTTTTTAAACATGAGCCTTAATGTAAATATGAATGACTCTAACTATACATTTGCAAAGCATTTATATATTTATGTTATTTTGGAATATTAAATCATTTACCATTGCAAAGTAAGAACTGCAATAGATAATTTTGACTTTATTTTAACCTACAATGCTGTTAAAAATTTGCATTAATTTTTATTTCAACTTTGTTATTTGTCTAAATCCTTTCGGAAATAGTAAAAATGCAGTTATCCCTCTTCACACAAAAATAACATTTTTACAGATTGTATGCACACATGCGTTTGTCTATTGCTATTCATTAGACAGACTACTGCTAACTATTCTCTCTTGGAGAACAATTTGATCTTCCATCTGTACATCACTGTGGTGTCGAGTTCTTTTATTTTTCTTCCACATCTGACGCCTACGTTCTTCTTCCTCATATGTATATTGTCTACCCGGTATATGATATGGACGGGGGAAAGGTGGTTTTGATAGAGTTGTTGATGTCGTTGAAATAGATGTTCTTTTATTACTTAAATAGACATTTTTAAATTAAGGTAAAACACAAAGATAATAGGGAACAACTTCGGGTATGTGCCACCTTGTGTTAGGCAGCTGAAGTAAAGCATATAGGAAAGCATATACTATGATTGTGAATTTTCGCTTTGAATTTTGATAAGCAAAGATGTTATTTATGTGTGTTGACAATTCAAGTTAAAGAGCAAATCTTAAAAATTAATATGGAATTGTGTCGTGTAAATGATTTGACCAAATTGATTAACCTCCCTCAGTAGTCTAGACCTGAATGGGTACTCTAAAGTATATCCGGCAATTTTTCAATTATGGTTCAATCATTACTTTATGACTCTTGTGGACTATTGGAACTTTCTTTCTATTAGTATTCTTTAAGCAAGAATTAATCGATTTCTGATATATTCGAACCATACGTATATGTATAAAGTAAATATCGACATGGTGTATCATGCAGCGAATTGCTCGAAAGATATGAATTTTAATTTCTGCACGAATCGCTTGCTACTTTTTGTATCGTGTTTTTACGAGATCAAAAAGACGAGTCCATCTAGATCTAGAATAACCGTCCTCGGGTATGGTCAAATTCATGAGATTTGGAAACCAAATATATAAAACATTTTGAGAGCATAACCCTTATGAAAGAACTACACAAGTAAGCGTGGTGTCAAAAACTCTCAACTTTGATTTACTACAACTTGATTGATATCACTGTCTGTTGGAAAAAAGACAGAAGATACCAAAGAGAAAACAAAAAATCAAAAGTCGAACTACAACAAACAATACCGTAGTCAAGAAAATAAATAAAAACGACATTCAATCGTCTACAAAATACTACATAGAAACCTACCAAGACGAACCCAGTCCGGCAAAAACCGGGATGATCTGAGGAGCCCCGTAAGGAAGAGCAAATACTGCTTCACAAGAGGCATCCGTCTTGTTGATCATGAAAAGGTCATGTTGACTTTAATTTGTAGTATACAAGGGTCTCATCAGTTCTTTGTGACTTTTTTTTTGTCAATATTTTTTGGCCATGGTTTTGTTTTTTTATTGTCCCCTTGGTATTTTGTTCTTTTTTATTTAGATACTTCAGTGTTTAGTTTAGTGTTTAATGTCCACAAAGACACACACTTCTAATAAAGGTTACATAGCAGAATGGATATATATCCAGTTGTTCTATTTTACATACTCTCAGCCCGGATCTGTTTGCGTTTACCATCACGAATTGGTTGACCAATTCGATATGTCTAGGACTCAACACCCAAGCGACATGTTTTCGTAGTCTTAGGCGATTAATCTGTAATCCTACCGATAGTGTCCTTTGCCCGATTGTGACAATTTCACTCAGTGTGGATTTGAATGGCGGTTGAAGCATGGTAACATGAGACGCTAAACATGTTGACGCACCCGATGTAGCTCCTTTTGGAGTGATTCCCTCAGTTTATGTTTGCTACCTTGAATTGTCTTCTAAATCTACTAATGAGATTTTAACGTCGGTAAACTATTGTTGCCTTAATGTATATCAACTCAATTTTAATATTGTCATCTGCACAGGGCTTTCCTTTTTTAAAGTAACGTCCAATGGGTATGCTACAGAGTTATCAGAATTTAACTGAATCTCACGTATGTATAAGAAATTACTTACGTTAAATTGTCATGTTCCATAACTTGGTGTTTTTCAGGTTCTACTATTTCATATTTTGTAATTTCATAGTCTTTTCGTTCTCTGAAATAAAATATATTGTTAGCTAATAACTACTGATACTCCTAAAACTAACCTAACGTCTTTTATTCGATGTTCGTTGAAAATCATCTATAAGATATTGAATGAGAATGAAGCCATCTCAATATGCTGACATTATTAAGAAAAGAAGCTTTCGGAGCTTTTCGTTTAAGCCTTTCGCATGAAGTTTTTTCTTTGAGAATTTGCATCTTATATATCTCGTTGCACTTGAAATTGGGGTTGTTCTAGAAAACATTTGGTCTGCGTCTTACATCTGAAAATTTGGTAATCGACCCAAATGGACATAACATTAGGACCAATAACAATAACAATAATTTTATTTTCCCATTCTGGAGCACAAACATTCTATAACATTCACGTCCATCAGTCGATACCATTTTTCAACAAAATTACAGAATGAGACTTATAGAATTTGTACGTACCATAGGAAACATGACGGATGCCAATTCTGCAGCAGGATATGCTTACCCTTTAGAAGAACTTGAGATCACTCACATTTTTTATGGGGTTTGTGTCCCTTAGTTGTGTGGTTGTCATCTTTTGTGAGTTGCTATGGTGTTGTTAGTTTCTTTTAGAAATATAAGTTTTGAAATACCCTTTGGTATCTCCTCCCTTTTATAAACTTGAGATTCAAATTATTAATAAGCAAAAATCTTACCATTCCTATTTGACATTAATACCAGTTTGAAATATACAATCACTGGGTCGATGCCACTAGTGAGCGTTTCGTCCCAATAGTATCAATATCAAAAGCCCAATAGTGTCAGCTCTCATATGCTGACATAAAAATTCATCGGTGCACTAATTTATGCAAAGTTCATAAAATGTTAGATTAAATTGAAAACCATCAAGTTTTTCTACAGCCAAGCATTGAAGGCGTTCGTAAAATTTTGAAAAACATTTTTAATTCGGTTGTCGATATTAAATTAAGATGATGTGGTATAAATTACAATAAGACAACTTCAGTTCCATTCAGTTTCGTAAATGATTTGGTTTTCACACTGTTTTGGTTCAGGCATCACTTATGATTCTCGTGTAGAATAAACGACCGTCTTGCGCATCAAATTATAAGACTGCATGGTGCCATTGTTGAGTTTGTTTTTGTCATTTGTTTGTATATGACAATTTCGACTAGATAAGACTTTGGAATAGTATGAAGGGTTTTTCAATCAAATTAGGTGATGCACATCCAGTCGAAACAAAATTTTGGATTAGTTTATCTACATGCTGTCATATTTAAAACGTCGTACAATATGTCAAATCAATGTTAAAATTCAGGAAATGACAATAGATATAAGAAGATCAAGCCAATAGCAAGCAATGATTATTAGAACAAACATTAGTTCACCTCTCTATAATGGCAACTTGATACGTAAGTTTTGCCTCACGTTTTTCTTTATATATTCCAGCACTAGATCCACAACAGCATACACAACAACCTATAATAACAACATTTAGAATAAGCTGTTTATCTGAAAGAGTATTAATGTTATGGTTATGAACAGCCATTAAATGATTTATCATGATATTTTGTACTACCTATGAGCAAAATGAAGGATGCCACAAGTGGAGAAGGATCTCCATCCGGAGCATTTGAGATCAACCCCAGTTTTAGGTCTTTAGTTTCATTTTCTAAATAGTGTTTTGTAGACTTTTGTTTGTCTTTTCGTATTTTTGCCACTGTGTTATATGTATAATACTGTCTATGCTCCTTTAAAATGGTTAGGCGTTATATTTGTAAACATCCTAAGCGTTATTAAGGTTTGAAATATTGAAAAATATAACACATTTAAAAAAAAAGATGTGGTATGATTGCAAATGAGATAACTATCAACCAGAGTTCAAAGGAAGTAAATGTAAGGAATTATAGGCCACCGTAAACCCATCTTATAATAAGCTTAGAGCATTTACACGAAAAGTATTTTGATTATAATAAGGTAATTCAGATTTGAAGCTAACCCACAAGACACATAAGGAAGGCAGCCGTTTTCATTTGATGAAGCAAAACTTTTCTGAAAATAAACAAGTGCTTACGAATTTCAAATAAAAAATACAAATACACTTACTTTTAAAGATGTTATTCTCAACACTCGCATAAAAGTCACCAGTTTTAACGTGGTCAGCCGAATCATATATGAATAGGAAAGTTTTACAGGTACAATCACGAGGTTTAGACTTAAAATCGTCAATATTGAAATTTTGAAGCACGTGTTTGTAGTTGAAATTGTTGGTCTCAGTAGATGTGGTATATGTTTACAAGTAGATAAAACAGACTGACATCTCGATTGGGCTGACTTATAATGTAACATATTAGTAAATTGATTGCATTAAGACCTTTATCGGCAAAGAAAGTTTTAGGAAGGGTCGTTTCTGTGTTACGTCTTATTCAATGCCAAGCGGTCTGAAAAGACTGTAACGGAAAGCATACGAGACGACTGTTATAAGTTTGCACTAGGAAGAATTACTGACAGGAGTTGTTCAAAGAATAAAGTTTCGAAAGGGGTAGTGAATATAGCTTTTGTCTATGGAGAGGTGTTGCGATGTTAGGATTGTTGGTCCTGCTGTTTATTTTTTAGATGAAACGAACTCGCATAGAAAAAAATTGATTCGGTAAGACTTGTTAAACTGTTGATTAACGATGTCAGTTACAGTGTTGTTAATATTTCATATATGGCCACATATTCGTTTGTTAAGCGTACCTTTCGTTACACCAATATTGCAAATGACAAGATTAGATTGTATAATTCATTAATTTGTTCTATCGTACTTTGTGTTTTAAAAAAATAGATTTAAAAGAATTACTCTACCTTGTAATAATCCGCAAACTACAAAGAGTAACAAAAAGAAAAATATTCCAAGAACAATTGCAACGATTTCTCCCCATGTAATTTCTGTTGAAAATAGTGGAATGTGTGTTGGGAAAGTGTCTGAAGCTAAAATAAAAAATATGTCAATTAAAATTTTGTATTCATTAGAAAAAATATGAAAAATTATTATTGAATTTTGTTTTAATGCAAGTCAGATATATTTTCTATTTCAATATTTCCTACGGATGTAGTTGGTAAGTACCAGTTACCGTTAGAAATGCATTGTCAAACAGGAAACGTTTAGAAATATTGTTATAACACATGAACAATTTCCAAATTTATGTTAAACAACATGGACTCGAACTTTAACTTTTCTTAAAAGTAATGAAAATAAGGTTACTGATAGAATGGAATATCGGAATATTAATGTCGTATTTAGAATAGTGTGTCAACAAGAAATTAAGTATTTTAAATGAACCAAACACATGGTGATTGAGTCCATAAATCGGAAAGTCTTCTTCCTTCTCTAAATTTGATTCGGTCGATATTTACAGTTTGGTATTGCGCAAGAACATTTTTAACGTTCTTTGGCTCTTTATGACGTCTTTACACTAAATTCAAAAGATATGTCCTTATTGATATTTTAGCCTTGATATGTAATTTTTTTATTAGATGTTATTGGCTTTGAACCAGCTTTTAGTCACTGCAAATACCCACAGATCGGTTTGTTGTGGATTAAGTCTTTTTGGTGGATATTTTGCGTGCTTTGTGTCGATCTGATGAGTCAAGCCTTTTCCCACTGATTTTTATAGTTTGTTCTAATGATGTGCTGTTACACCACTGTCCCAGGATGGTTATGCGCCCGCAAACATGTTTAACCCAGCGACATTTTGTATGTACCTGTCCTAAGTAAGGAGCCTGTAATTGAGTGGTCGTCGTTTGCCTGCTATATATTATATTTGTTTTTCGTTTATTGTTTTTGACATAAATTATATCGTTAGTTTTCATGTTTGAATTGTTTCACAGTTGTCATGTCGGAGCCTTTTATAGCTTGTTATGCTGTATGGGTTTTGCTCATTGCTGAAGGCTATATGGAGACCTTTAGTTGCTGACTGCTACGTTATTTAGTTTCTACTGTAGCGTTGTCTCATTGGCAAGCAAAGCACATCTCATTTTTATTTTTAGTCGTTTTTATACATCCTCAGCTTTGAACGTTTCGGTATTGATCGTTCCTGTTGAAGTTAAACCCAGGAAAGCGATTCCGATGCTCCAAATTTAAAACTTTTATATTCTTTTATTATTAGTCTGTATTTGGGTGTGAATGATATAGTTGGCGTTCATCTGAGATTTGAGAAAACAATACAGTCAGTACTAAAAGTAAATAAACATACCATTTACAGCTATTGATAAACCGACTGTTTGTGGTGATGTCAAAGTCTGATGTCTTACTTCGCATAATATCGTCTGACCATCATTGGCAGTAGTAGGAGCCCAATTTACGGAACCAGTCACTATATATGCTTTTGACGAGGTGTCATATTTTGAAACCACAGTTATATCGTCAAAATGTTTGCTTTCTATTTCCATTGAAATACTAGGTGCATGGTATCCATTTATAGAAGTACAAGTCCAAGTACCAGATTGTCCTGATATAAGGAATGATGGTCCATTTATTACTGGAGGATCGGGCGTAACTGTAGAAAAGACAATTGATTCACAAACAGGATTATGAAAGTTTAAGATAGTAAAATTTCTGGGCAGATAATATAATAGTACCATAGATTTGTTTTAAATAACTTGGCTTTCGTTGAACTGTTGGTAATGAGTATTGTATGAAATAAGCTTTGAGGAAGTAAATAATAAAACCTACTTGCAACATGTTATAATATCATAGATGAAAATTATAGGTTATGTGACTATATTAACAAATATTGTCCCATAAGTATACATGAAAAGAGACTATACAGAAAAAAAATATATATGAAAGGATAAATAAATTTCCAACCCATTTTAAATCAAAGTATTCATGTCTATTGTTTTATATGATTCTTTAATGTATCTGTTTTGTCTTCAACTTGTGATTTTCGATTGCTTTAGATAGATGTGTAATTATTCTTTTCTTGTTTTTCGATCACTTTTGAAAAATGATATCGTTATACATACTTAGAAGTTCCACAGAAAATGTCCTAACGAGATAATTTTGTAGAACTTTATTATCCACCTGGCATTCAAAAACTTGTAGATGATACTCTCTTGATGCAATAAAATTTAGCGTTGATGAAGTGATACCATTTACTGTCGTTTGGGTTGTAGTTACTCTTACATCACCTCTCAGCCATGTCAATGTTGGCAATGGGTCACCGCCAGCTGAGGAACATGTTAGTGTAACGTTATCGTTCAGCAAAATTTCAGATGGCCCAATTATGGTTGGATCTCCGGGAGGAACTAAAATGAATAACAGCGTACACTTAGCTCTTTCTGCATATTATATATTGCAAACCGTTAGGGTTATATATACACAATTTATTTTTATTTTGACATATAAAAGGTGAAAAAATGGGGATGAAAATCATGGGTCGGTCACCTTAAAAGTGATACCAATAACAAAACATATGTACTTAGTTTCAATATAATTAGAATTGTTTTTAGGTTGCAGTGCACACATCACCTTTAGTGGCTGATTGTGGCAAATTACTGAAATCAATCACTTCTTTTTAGAAAATGAAATAGTTTCAACAAAACTTTAGTCCGCAATGTCATTGTTTTGCGGGTTTCTTCATATATAACCTACACTATGGCTTTTCTTGCCACTTTGCAATCATTGACATTTGTTTGCACTGTATCTAATCCAAAACCAAAGGTATATTTTGAATCAAGCTTGGTCTCAAGCATCTTAAAAATGTTTGATGTAAACAAAATGTCAAGTAACAAAGCCGATTAGATAACATGGTCATTTTTATCTGAAATAGACTATATATGTTAGTTAGACCTACAGAATGATATGGATTTGTTTGGTAAGACTTACTATACAAATCATTGATTATGATAAAAAGAACTTCACATCCGGAAACTATTTTTTCATGACTTTACGATGACTTAACAAAAAAAAAACTTACTTAATTACAAATTCAATAATTTAGAAAAAAAATACTTACCTCCATATTCTATTTTGCAAACACATGTTTAATAAACATGGTTCACTGTTTGAGTTGTCACGGTAATGACTTTTTTAAGAGAGATTGACGTATGATTGAAATATTAAGTTTCTTAACTAATATTTCATGTTCAACTAAATCGTACGAACGTACATAAACACTGAAAATTGCATATTTTCCCTACTTTTGGGGTAGTTATTGCTCAACACATTGTTCATACGTACTCTGTCCATAAACTGTAACAATTAGAACCATCCCAAGACAGTACAATATACCTATCATTATGATATGCTGTAGCTTGTAACTGTATGCTGTTGTATGTGTGTTATAATGTTTGTTGCTTTGCAGTTTACAGTTTCTACATCCACAAAAAAAAAGAATATGATTATAATAAAATTACTATAATATAAATAATACTCCTAAATAAAAAATACAATACATCTGAATGATCATGATAGTATAACTTTGCCCATGCGCATGTCAATTTTGTCAGTCGCCTTTTTAGATACGTAGATACGTCGCAAAAGGAAATAATAATTTGTCTGTTTTAGTGTTTAAATGCCACTTGGTATCTTCTCCCACTTTTTCTGTTTAACATTATTTTGCAAACAATTTTCTTTTACTTTCCTTATCGAACCACAGATGAAGCAAAACGATGTCAATACACAATATTACCCTTTTCTTTTGATCATTTAAAGAACGTGCAAATAACTATTTAACAAAAAAATAATGTTAAAAATGCAAAACATCAAAATAACACTTTATAAACATTTTAAATATCATGCTTCCGAAGCGCCTTTCTGGATCTACCTTCATGAACACTCAAAGCCGAACATTTGAGAGCCAATGGTGTATAAGAACTTACATGAACATATTTAATTTGGGAAAATTAAGAATTCTTAAAGTGAAAATATCAATGATGCACTATCATATCTATCAATTAATAATTAAAACTAGACAATGTATGTTTTAAAAAAACGGTTCCAAGTGAAAAATAAATATACAATTTTGAACAGTTGACTGCAAATTGAACAGAACCATTTTACAATGTTACAGACGAGAGTTCCTCTAAAATTAGCCTAATATATTTTCAATACAATACAGTATTTTTGTTATTTTACTTTTTTCCATTTAGGAAAATTCAAGGGATACATGTACATTATTTCCGATAATTTCGAATACTTAGATACGTGGTTTTGTTGATGTAAAAAAAAGTGTTCATCTCCGTAGTAATGTTTTAACCGCGCGTATTCGCTTTAGCTTCTGTTATTTTGGTCATACACCCTCGTGGTATTATTATATCAGTTTCTGCTATCTTGCCAACGCATTCTCGGGGAAGCTTATACCATTTTGTAATATCTTATTCTGGTATTCTTGCGTTAAGATTAAACCAATTTCGTTTATCACGCGTTTTCTCGGTAAGATTTCATAATAACGGTTATCTCGGCCGTGCAAGCTTGTGGTGACATCATTTAAGTTCCTGTCAACTTGTTCATGCGTTTTCGCAGTAAGATTTTACCAGTTTCTGATATCTTGGCCATGCATTATTAAGTTAAGATTATTCCAGTTTCTGGGTTTTTTTTGCCATGCGTGTTCGAATTAAGGATTTCGAGGATTGAAATTCTCCTGTCTAGCTCTTACTTTTGTTTAAAATCTAATAAAATCGGCAGCTCTCACCTCCTTTTTCGTTCAGGTATATTCCTATTCGTCGTCTCTTTTCTTTTGTTTCGGAATCCGCCCCTGATAGAGTTTAATGGCTACTCGGATATCGTTTTGCTACAACAATTAAAACAGAGTATACAGATTGTTCAGCCTGCCTGATAATCAGTACTAAAATATTATCGTTTGTGTTATCGATTGATGAAATATGTCAGCGATAGTATAAGAATATGTGAAGAAACGATAATTGTTAATACACATTGATCCTTCACAGTCATTTTCGCGTATACACCTGGTTATATTCAAAATTAATTCTAAATGACAAATATATTAAAAACAAATTCAATGAACACTGTATGAAATATAAAGTACAAGTATTGAATAGAAAAAAAAAGAGAAGTGGGTTGTGTTCTTCATTTCATCATTTTAAATAAAAAATAGATTAATTAAAAAATCACATTCTCAATATTCAGTTATCAAGTATTGATTACAATTAAGATTGATAAAATGTTAACATCCTGTTTATTGAAATAAAATGTTACGTCAGACACAGCATTTCGACCACGTCAGAAAGAAAATATTGTGGTAATACAATGGTGACAGTAATATACTACAATCTCTTAAATCCTAGGAACATTCAAATAGACTACACCGATCAGGTTGCAAATCACAAATGCAGGATTTTCCTTCTAACAAGCAATGAATTTAAGACGCAAAACAGGTTTTTTTTTCTGGAGAAATACAAAACGCACTAGATCCAAGTTAACATACGAAAGTATCATTCAAATTTCTATACAAGTCCTTTTGTGTCTATTTCCGATAACGTTTTGGTCTCCTTTAAATCCCTTCGTATTGAAATTGTAAAGGCCATTCACATCATATTAAAAATTCTTAATAGGGTAATTTCAAAGCGAGTATAAGACAACAAGCCTTCGGAGATTTCTGAATCAAAATATGAGAAAATTATCAATTGTCACCCCTTTTAGTCTTTTCCTGTGGAAATCGTTATAATACCAAAAAACGACACTCACTTAATATGAACAATCATAGATCAGTGTTATGTGCATTTGTAATTTAAATCAAACATGACAAAAATAAATATCCCTTATTTGTACTGCATCTCCCTATTACATAAGTAAACAAACACTGTATTGCATGGTCTTCCAAATACTCTGTCATACATTTTCTAAATGATTAACATCCATTGTAATAGCTTTCGAAAGTGGGCTTCAAAGCAACTTTTGTACTACCTTCTCGGGGGTTATGGGGGCTGGGCGGTGTGTATCAGATGTGGATGCTTTAAAATCCAAATGATCTTTTAAATTGACAATGAGGTTCAGTTAATGATGTTTGCTATTCTGGGTTTTTGAATTTTTGTCAGATGTTCGGAATCCTCTGGTTTTATCCATGTAGTGTTATTAAAATAAATTGCCCATTAACCCCTACTTTTCTTTCCATAACTTGATTACATATATTTTAATATGTCATCTTTGCAAATCTTATAAAATCCTTGTTATTTTTTCATCGTTTTTGAAAGAGAAAAGGTGTCAATGTTAAATGTAAGAAAAAATCAAGAGAGAATTGTTTCCCGCCAAATTTGCAATGGCTTATATCTCAAAAACAAGCACACGGACCCTTCATTTTTTTCTGCTTTTTTAGTTTCTTTATTTATATACAATCAATTTATAACAGTCTTTTAAAAAGCTTGTTATTTTGAAGCAGAGTAGCGAACATCCTTAAACACAAAACGTTACGATAAAAGAGATTTCAGATACAAATTGTTAACTTTCTATATTTATCTTTGGAAACATCCAAAAAACGCATATATATGGGATATATACCCCTCAGTTGTCACAACACACCAAAATTTGCGTTTCTTATCATGAATTCCTTGATAGAAGTTTAATTCTTAGAAGGAAGCTTTTTAATGCAAGTGGTAATCATTACGTAATTCATTCGAAAGTTTTACGGACGTCATCATTATTTGGGTGACCGCACTATCACAGTTTGTTCCATTTATTGTAGCCACAATCCCGTCCTCTTTTCTTCTATTTTGAAATATCCGAATAAGACTTATAATCGTTTTTTTTAATAACCATAAGAAACTCAACGGGTGCCACATGTTGAGCAGGATCTGCTAACATTTCCGGAGTATCAAAAATCAGCATGGTCTATGTAGAAAAACGATAATCTATACATATCACCACCACGCACCTCATACAAAACTCATAGCTAGCATTTATGTTGTGTTTTTGTACTATTGTATGCCTTTCCGTCGTTTTTTTGTGGTGTTCGTTTTGTTCAGTCTAAAAAGTGTTTAGTTGAATGTTCTGTATTTGTGATTTTTTCTATTTTTTGCCATGGCTTTGTCGGTTTTCTTCGACTTATGAATTGTGGTTTTCCCTTTGATATCTTCTGCCCCTTTTTTAAAGTCCGTACCATCAAAAGCCATATCTTCTTACAACTTTTTAAAATAGTTAAGTTTTTTCCTCTTTAAATTAGATTACTCAATTAATCTGTACAAAATTTTTCCTGGATCTAAACTTAAACCCTACTGTGACCTATAATGGTTTACTTTTATAAATTTTGGCTTGGATGGAGAGTTGTCTCATTGGCACTCATACCACATCTTCTTATATCTATTAAAGATGGTTTGAAAACGAATCAACCAGAACATTTTTGTATCACAAAATCTAATGGCAAACCTATGTACAATATCTTTTTGTTAGGAAGGGTCAAATCACACTTAAAAAGAAACAAACAGATTAAAACCAAAATTCCAGGAAACTGACATATTCAAGATGTTTGACTTTTTATCGATAAAACATAAGTGACATTTCATGGACCTCTTTTTCAATAGACAGCAAAAAGGATTCATATGGAAACCAATTGTGGTCTCCGTTCCCCACTTATCCCTTTATTCAGACCCCATACCTGGGATTCACAAGAAATAAAAAGAGGCTAGCCAACTTGAATCTTGATACGAAATTAGGATTGCTTTACCTATCGTGATTCGTTAATAGAGGGTTTATTCTTACATGGAAGCTATGTGACCATGGGTTCTTGGTAGTGAAGTTGAATTCATCGCTTTAAAAATTATATGGACTCTTCTTAGACTTCTCTTTTAATAGGTAAATAAGAAAAAAGTCGAACACCTCCGAGGAAGGATATGTATACAACTAGACCTAGATGGCTGATATTTCTACTTCAAATACCCTCCAGTCTAGTGTGTTGTAGATATTCCATTTATTTTTCATACCGTGTTGAATAAGTAAGTCATCATGTCTATGATCTCAACAAAAAGAAGAAGAAAAAAAACAGGAATCAAATCCTGTTTCTTTAAAGTCATGCTTCAGATAAATTAATAAAAAAAACTTCTGTATAAATTAGTTACATCTAAAAGCGAAGGAAATACAGGTAGTTATATTTCAACTCAAGTCGTGATTTTCATTGCGGAAAAGCTTAGATGTAATTAATTGGTCCACTGACTGCATATAGAACTTCTATAAAGTAACAGTTAGTAAAATATGCAGTATTTATATAGATACAGCAAAAAGAAAACATAGTTATATCCTTTACAACTATTTTGTTCAAAAGTTATCACGTAATTTTTGACTTTTCAATTTACTTTTTTTTTTAGTGTACTGAACATTAATATAACACTTAACATTATACTATTTTTTTTTCTACACTAAACTTTAAAATTACAATTTACATGTATTACATGCTAAAATTCGGTCGTGAAAGTTTGGCCACAGAATATTTTAGTTTTCTCCCAAAAAAGAACATGACTATTTTAATATATTTGCGATGTAATGTTAAAATCATTTGTATATACAGATATATGGGGTCTATGAATATGTATTACCTTTCATAAAAAATCATCAGAACATAATTATATATATGATCATATATTATCATGGATGTATATAGGAAATGATATTAAAATGTCGAAACTTAAAGAAGTTTGATAAAGCAGAAATTTGGCCATGTACCGCTTACGAATTGTAAGACAATTGTATGTAAAAGCAATTTGATTTTGTACTAGACAAAATAAGCTATTGCCCTTATTAGTCTATTATAAACTTAAAAACTGTAAACAGTTGCGTACAATGTGTATCCATACTTTTGCAAACGCGCATCGGTAGGATCGGGAGGGGGAGTTAATATGGATAAAGAGGAAAAATTCATATTTCATTAAAACGTGCAATTTCCGTCCATTGGCACCCTATACATGTAATATGCAAATTTAATTAAAACCACAAATCTGATTTTTACCCGAAGGCAAAACTAAATTGAAATCGAAATACAATTTTTCTCATTTGTTGGAAGGCTGATAAAAGGCAGTTTTCAGTTTATCTCTTTGATTTGCTTTTAGAAAGTCCTTAATATTAAGTTTCATATCCTTCAACAAAACACATTTCGAAAAACAAAATCAAGATGTAAACTAAAATATAATTCTTATATATTGGTTTTATTCGAGTTTGTTTTGAATTAATGTAACTAATTAATAAACTTACCTTATCTTATATTTTCTCGAATTTTCTACATGGAAGATAATTAAACGCCAAGTATTTAAATGTTTAAAGAGTAATAAGATATGAAAACCATGAAATCATAATGATGAAAGTTATACTGACATAGATAAAATGTCACCTAATTATTTTAACATTGTGTACTACAGTTTCCATGATACTATGTTGATGATATTCTATTTATGGAATGACTTTATTGATACTATAAAAAACAAGCCGGATTCCAGCTGATTGGCTGATTAACAGCAAAGCGAATAAAAACATCGGTGTTCATCCGTATATCAATACAAAGCGTATACCGAACAGCTGAGTGATTTGTCATGGTCAACCGAGTTTGAGGGATTAGAGTTTAAAATTCAAATTCTTATCAGTGAAATGAATGGAATCATGCCGAATAAAGAGGGTTTTATTTGATGTTATTTGAATTCATTATACAAAGACAAGGAAAAAAAAAGAAGAGTAGGTTACGTGTAGTTTTTAATTACCTTACAAATGTATGTCAGTGTCTGTTGTTGTAATGTCTTAAATGTTTTTATAAGTCCTATCATTCTTTTTATGTTTTATTATTTTTGAGTTTCAACATGGCATTTCAAAATTGTTGTTTTATGACTGAGAAAGTTGCAGGTATAACAAGCATATTCAGGAGAACATTCTAGCAAGAAAAATAACTATTTATTTCTTGCGTTCGAAGCTCTTTTCTCGGGAACGATCAAACCCAAACATTTAAAGGCAAAGGATGAATATGACCTAAACACGTGCAGCGCTTTATGACTAAAGGGGATCTGAATAATAGATAAATTCATCTAATGACAATAAAATTGAGAATTGAAATGGGGAATGTGTCAAAGAGACAACAAGCCGACCATATAATTTTATTTATAGTGCAACCTGATATAACATTTTTACATACATTAATACAAAGTCAATCAGCCAGCCTTCAAAGGCTTACGAAGCACTGTCAATTAATGTCTATAATTAGCGCTAATATTAAAAATATGAAATTTTATACTTCAAGAACATTTTTAAACAAGATTATGTATATGTCATGATGAGAAAGTAACTGAGCTCTGATTTTTGAAATATTGAATATATAGTTTGACACTAGTTTACAGTCAGTAGTTAGCAATTTAATGAGTATTTCGTCATCAGAAAGAACGGAAAGGTCTATGTTGTTACGTTGCTGAAAGTCCGCAAAGGCATTGTTTCTTTCACACAAATATAAAGGACATTGAACTAAAAAATGTTTTTCGTCCTCAACGGATACATTGCCATTACAAACTTTACAAAAACGTCTATTTGACGGGATACCACGATAACGCCCAATTTCTAATTCCAATGGAAAAGTTCCACAACGCATTCTGGCTAAAGTTGATCTCTGTTGTCGTGTCATATTAGTGGTTATGTACTGCTGTGTTTCAAAGTTTGTTTCAAGACATTTAAAAGTTCGCAATTTTGGCATGTTCATAATATCCAGTTTCCATTTTTCGTGATGCTTTTGACGGAGCAAAAGTTCTGAATAGTTTGCAATAAATTTTACACTTAGTCCATTTGTGTAGTTATTGTTCATTAGTTCCAAAAATTCACATTTTTCCATCACTGATTTTAGCTCGTTGTACCATGTTTTCGTATATTTTTCTGATAAAGTTGAATCCCATTGGAAAATACGATTTGGAATTCGACTTGCGTGCATACTTGCTATTCTATGCCAAAGTCTTATCATGTTACACTGGCGACGGATATATGCAGGAGTCCAACCCATATCACCACAAATAGCCGGAATTGGACTACATTTCCCAACTCCCATAAATGTCCTGATTGCTCTGTATTGGAGTCTTTCAATATTATCGTAAGGCTTGTAACCCCAGACACCTGATGCATAGTTCATGATTGGAATAACTGTACTTGCAAATAATTTTGTGTATGTTTCGTAATCAAAACCATCCACCAGAAAATATTTTGATGATAAGGCACCAAGTGCTCTACTACTAGCTGTGATGAGTTCGTTCACGCACTCGTTGTATTCTAGAGTTTCAGATATTGTAAGTCCTAGGTATCGATATCTTGGTGTGTATTCGATAGTTGTGTTCCCCATCTTAAATACTCTGTCTGAGCACGGAGATGACTTTTGTCTAATGTGCATAACTTTCGTTTTATCACAGTTCACTTGCAAGCTCTATTTCACAGACCAGTTATTTAGTGCTGTTAACCGTTTTGCAGTCCGTTTTCTGTATCCGATATAAGCACAATATCATCAGCATAAAGTAATGTACTGATTTCAAAGTCAGTATCTAGACGGATTCCACAATTCAAAGCATTTATATCTGTAGTTAAGTCGTTGATGAATAGAGCGAATAATGTGGGAGCCAAATTATCTCCTTGACGAACACCAGTTTCGACCGAAAACCAATCTGTTAGAGTACCGTTTAGTCTAACACAGCTTTGTAGGTTGGTATACATGCTTTGGATCGTTCTCAGCATATTTCCGTAAACATCCGCTTTAACAAGTTTATGCCAGAGGTAGGTATGGTTAACAGAATCATACGCCTTGCTAAAGTCTATAAAACATATGTGTGTGTCAAGTTTCATAAGCTTTCTGTTTCTTAAAATGATGCACAGTGTATAAATGTGGTCTAAACAGGATCTCATTTTTCTGAATCCATTCTGTTCGTTACAGAGTGTGTTATTCCGTTCAAAATAAGAGGTAAGTCTGCGATTAAGAATAGAGCTAAACATTTTGGCAACAGTTGACATTAAGCTTATACCACGATATCCAAGTGGATCACGGTAGTCTTTTCCATCTTTTAATATAGGATGAATAATACTTTGGCACCAAGGTGAAGGAACTATACCATGAGTAAAGCACATATCAAATAACTTTTGTAACGGGACAGTCAAAATTTTGTTACACAGAATTTCGTTTGGTAAATTGTCAACACCTACTGCTTTTCCTAGTTTCACTGGTCTCATTGCTTCTTCTGTTTCCTCAATTGAAATATTTTCATTGAAAAGTTTGGCCGCTAAAATCTCATCATCTTCATCCGTTACGCTCTCGTATTCGCGCTCCAATTGTTCATTAAGTTCGCTTAAATTGTCAATGAATGTATCGTTTACCAGTGTAGTGTCTAATTTAAAAAGCTTGTAATATTCGCTTTTCCATCTTTTGAGGATTGTTTCTTGGTCTGTAGAGAAGCTTCCATCCTCCATACGGACACTGTCAATATCTGGTCTATGCTTTTGCGGCCCTAGCTTATCGATTTCTTTCCAAAATTCCTTCGGATTTGAATCATTTAAAGTCTTAATTCTGTCACGGATCGACGCCTGACGAGTGCGTTCACACTGCCGTAATCGTTTGTCAAATAGTTTTCTTTTTTCGATAAACGTGCTTCTGAGAAAATTCCGTGTCCGTTTACACCCTTTATATTTCAGATAATCCTTTTCAGATCGGTTAACCTTAGAAAGTAGCTCTTTTAACTCAGCATTCCAATATGGTTTTTGTATTTGTTTTCTCCGTTTTTTTTGTAACATTTCCTCCGATATCTTTAAAGGGTAAATGATTATCCTGAAGTACAGATACAAAGTTTCCGTATAATTTATCGATTTCGTTTTTGACATCGAAACAATTTTCCATTTGTTCAATAACACTTAAAATAGCTCTCGTGCATCGTTGATTTGCGAAAACATTTTAGGAACATTACATACATTATACTTGCGTCTTTTGGAACATAAATTAATGTCTTTACCATTCTCACTGTAATTGCTTGTATATTCACTAATTGAAAGACTACATGAAAGAACTGAGTGATCTGGAATAGTTGCTTTTGCGGCCGGAGTTATGTCATATAGTAAAAGAATGTCTGAAATTAGTTGAACTTTAAATTTTGAATACTTGTTCAAGTCAGCATATGGAACAGCAATATAATCAACCACTGACTTCCCCGTCTTCGAAACATACGTATAGTTGTCGGTATCCTTTTCAAATCTTCCGTTTAATACACATAGTTTTGCATCTTTAATAAAATCCAAAAAATAATTTCCAAATGCGTTTCGGACGTCGTCAATACTTGACTTTTCAGGAATAAAATAAATTTTATCATAAAAATCTTGTAAATTTCCAATTCTCCCATTAAAATCGCCACATACAAATAAATTAGAACAACCGCTGTACAAATATATTTGCGACAACAGAACATCATAATACTCCTGTGCAATATTGCCTCTACTAGAGCGTTCCGGTGGTAAATAACACACACATAGGTGAATAACGAAATTTATGTCATTTTTACATTTAAGAGATATCCATAGAATGTCTTCATAATTATCACACAAAACGCTACACGTGAAGTTCTCAAGGATACTTTTCGATACTAAAAATCCCACACCACCAGAGCCTCGCCAAGAATTCACAAGTATATTCTTCCTATTGTTCCCAAACCATTCGTATCCAAATATATCGATAGATTGATTTGATTGCAGGTGAGTTTCACATATTCCAATTATGTCAAAGTTTAAGGAACTAAGAATTTGTTCCCTTAAAATTCTGCTATTCTTTGTATTTTCTGAAAGATACCACCCTTTACAGTTCCAACTTGCAATTTCTAAATTCGACTTTGAAGACTGGCAATTTTCCTATTTTTTTAGTGACCCTACCACCACGAATTTCGAGACTAGGAAAGGTCTTTATAATTTTGCGAATGTTAGCTTCTTGCATACGTTCGTGTCGCGTTTTGTCAGTTTCGACATAGACATGACTGTACATAGGATTATCTTTAAGTTTTCTTTTTTTCTTTAGTACGTTTACACGTTGAGATTCATTATCAAAGTTAACAAGTACCGTTTTGTTCTGTTGATTGGTGTTAGATCCTACGCATTGTACGGTTGTCACATTAAAATCCAGTTCAAGATAGGTAATAATACCGTTAATATATGCCTTCAGGGAGTCTTCACTATCACCCGTGTCGGTATTTGGTACATTTTTAAACACTAGTTTAGAGTGAGTAATGTTCTGTGACACTTGTGTATTGGTTGAACTTTCACCTTTCTCTAGAGTATCTATTTTGTTTTTAAGACTTTGTATTTCGTTATCAAACTTAGCAAACTCAATGTTAATTTCATCTTTCAACGATTTCATTTTATTTGATATTTCTGTCTTAAAACTAGCTTCTAAATTCGTGATTCGCTGCTCCATGGATTGTCTAAGGGATTCTTGGTTATTACTAACGTTCGTCAATAAATCATAAATGTCATTTACTGACCTTGTAGCTGGATTGTCTTGTCCGGGTTCCTTTGCATTAGACAAGTGGGCTAACTGTTCTGAGCTAGACGTTTTGTTGGATCGTTTTGCTATTGGTAGAGTCTGTTCCACTTCTGTATCTGACGAAGTACGACGAGCTTTTCGTCCTGGTTCTCTAGAATTTATCATCTAGATCGGACACTTGAACATTTGAACATTTGCAATAGATTTTGACACTTTTATAATCCAGTAAATCAATATAATCCTATAATATCCCAAGATTTGGTAAGAGCAATTTTTCATACGTCCATTACATGTAACCTCGTTTTCGTAGCGACCATAGAGCAGACAACAGCCGAAGGCCACCAATGGGTCTTCAATGCAGCGAAAAACTCCCGCACCCGGAGGCGTCCATCAGCTTTACCTGATGGAGTTGGAACCTTTGTTTCTTACTAAAATTTTTAATTTATCAACTGAAAATTTATGAAAGTTTGTTATAAATCATGTCAGTACCGAAGCACTGACTAATGAGTTGATGGTACCACCCGAGAACAGTCCACCAGCAGTGTTATCGGCCAAGTGTTTGTAAATAAAAATAACACTTTCAGGTAAATGGCCATTGTTATATTATAGTTCGTTTCTGTGTGTGTTACATTTTAATGTTGTGTTTTTGTTGTGTCGTTGTTCTCCTCTTATATTTGATGCGTTTCCTTCAGTTTTAGTTTGTAACCCGGATTTGTTTTTATCTCTATCGATTTATGAGTTTCGAACAGCGGTATACTACTGTTGCCTTTATTTACATCATGAATAAGGGTCTGGAGTGGGTCATATCATGAGTAGGAGAGTGTGTGTTTGTGTTTGGACTTACTATGCTAAGTAAATATAGTCAATGATTTAATTATAAAGGTAAGTTATGGTTCCCCTCCGACTAGCTTCTCTGTTGTTATTTTTAAACGTGCAGAGAAGATTACATTTTTATCTATGTTTCTTCCATAAGGCTTTACCATTTAGATTTCTTATATAAATAAGATCTAGTATGAGTGCCAATGAGACAACTCTCCATCCAAGTCACAATGTATAAAAAGTTAACAATTATAGGTCAAGGTACGGCTTTCAACACGGAGCCTTGGCTCACACCGAACAGCAAGCTATAAAAGGCCCCAAAATGACTAGTTTAAAACAATTCAAACAGGAAAACCAACGGTCTAATCTATATAAAAAACGAGAAACGAGAAACACCTATAAACCACACAAACAAACGACAAACACTGAACAATAGGCTCCTGACTTAGGACAGGTGCATAAAAATGTAGCGAGTTTAAACGTTTTAACAGGCACCAACCTTCACCAACCTTCACCCTAACCTGAGACAGTAGTGTAACATTACAACATAAATAGATGCACTATAAAATGTCTATTGAAATGGCTTAACTCTATCAAAAAGACATTTAAACAAAAAGAAGTAAACATACACTGAACGAATACGTTTGAGCTATGACACAATATTAATACAATGTTAAAAGGTAGGTGCCTGTATAACATAGACGTAGTAATAAAAAAGATGAAGGAAGAGTGTCAATAAAACAAAATGGCGTTAAATAAAACAACGTACACAGGTAAATATAAATATAATAATTGTGTTGTTAGGAGTACGGAAGTAAACATTTTTTACAAAATTAATAAAGTTGTTGTTCAGAGTACAAGTACAGAAGTGAAAATCTATCGTCATACTAAATACCTGAAACAGTAGTGTATAACATTACAACATAAAAAGACACACTATAAAATATCAATTGAAATGGCTTAACTCGATCAAAAAGACATATAAACAAAAAGAAGTAAACATACAATGAACGAATAGGTTTGATCTATGACACAATATAAATACAATATTAATAAAAAAAAAGATGTAGAACAATGTCAAAAAGACAACTCTAACCTGGAACAAAATGGCCTTTAATAAAGTAAGGTAAATTTAAATATAATAATTTTGTTGTTAGGAATACGGAAACATTTTTTACAAAATAAATAAATTTGTTGTTTACAGTACGAGTACAGAACTGAAAATGTATAGTCATACTAAATACTTATCAAAGGTGGTACATTTTAAAAATAGTGAGAAGAAATATAACACAAAATAAGTAAACACTGAATTACAGAAATGCATTACAAATTGTGTCAACAGGTAAAATAAACACGAAAGTACTATTTGAGAGTACTTGCAGTTACTGAAAGGTAGTTAAAAGCCAAAAACAGTAAACAATAAAAATCTTGCATCAGAGACTAAAATCAATTAAAATACATCCCAGGGATTTAGTGTTTTAACGCCATGGACAGTCAAAGAAGACATGACTTGTGCAATGCCAAAATAAAAGTATCGACAGGCAGTAGGATCGTTATGATTTAACCTTATAATAGACAATTGCAATTAGCGTGGATGTGTATTTGTACATCCCAAAAACCATTCGAAAAGAATACAAATTTAGTAATTTTTAATTTGTTGATGACAAAATCGATGTTAGTGCCAATGTAAACAATATTCATAGATCTTATTACAAAATTAATAAGATAACCTTTTCTAATAAGTTTGTTTAAATGGTTGATGAGTTTACACGGATCACATAGTGATTTCCGCGCTTTTAGTACAATATTACTGTAAAATTTAGGATGTGAAATAACGTTTTTAATAAGTTTTCTACAAGTACAGCCAAATTAACTAATAAAACCTGTGTATCTATGAAAGAATTTAGTTAATGTTTTAAGTAATTTATGGTAACGAAATCTCTGACTTAATAATTTAACAGACATGCATTGATTACGATTAGTTAAAATCTATGACATCACTACACACATGGGCATAACGAACTAGTTGGGATATATAAACACCGTATGATGGAGCCAAAGAAACATCGCCGTCTAAATTTATGACTGCTTGTTGGGTCATCTCCAACCCTAAACAGTCAACACAGGTCTTACTGTCCGACAAAAGGAACCAAAGCAGCAACACTTCTTCTTCTGGCTACCCTTTATTGCATAAATGCATTAAAACTACCCAAATCCGATGACGTTAATAAGGTGCTTACAGGAGTATTCAAGCGACTATGCTTCGATGATTCCCATACAATACTAGTGGGACTAGCACATATTAAAATACAAGCCAAGACTAAGGTTCAAGCAACATACAATATTGAAAAGTAAAGGTTTAAGTAAGACAATACAAACTTCCATAAAATTATATCAGACGCTTTGAAAGCTTAACATGGCTAGTCGACTCATCCGGTCTCGCTCCTTTTTGAGTTCATGCGATTCCATCGATTTTGTTTGAACTTGATTTATATTTCTTCATGGATTAATGAGATTTGAACATCGGTAAATTATTGTTGCCTATAATTGTTCTCTTCATGAATTTGTACAATATTCAGATTTATTAAATAACGTATTACCGATTCTAAACAGGTAATCAATAGTTACTTATTCAACCAGATAGATAGCGTGGAATTGAGAGAACAAAAGAAATTGTGATTTTTGTAACTCTAGAGATTCACGCACAAATGTTAAAACACCAGTTTACAAAAAAAGTTATACAACTATGTATAAACTAGTACGAGAAAAACGAGGAAATCTACAAAAAAAACAAATGTAGTCATTCTCTTTAATATGTTTTATGATGATTAACAATTGTATTTCTATTCACCTGAATTCAATGTAAACACATGTTTAACATTATATCTCATTTATTTTGTTTTTTGTATTTATTTATTTATTAATATGCATGAAATTATCTCGTTAATGCGCATATAAAGTAAGTAAGAACCATTTTACAAACAGTGAAAAACACATAAGAAACAAGTGGGAAACAACCATTATTCTTTATACCATTAACTTGATCTAATAAGAAATGCTGGATCTTGAATTTTGAATATCCACTTGCAATGATATATGCATATCATAAATTATGTAGAGTTTGTAATGCCAAACTTTTAGTCTACATGTGTGCTAATCTTTACGCTTGTCTTTGTGTTTCATTATGAGCTAGACTAAATGTAAACAGTATTTTATTTGGAAATACTTGCATGTGTTTTATACAAAATACGATTGATTCCCGGGATTGAAAAAAAAAAAGATAAGCACTTATACAAATTTCTTTGAGAATGAGAATCTTAAGAACTATTCTCCTTTTAAGGTGAGTCCTTAATGGAATAGATTTAAGGACTAACCTGTTGTTTTCCTCTGTTTCACACAGGCGACATTCCGACGCTTAAGTATGAATTATGTTTTATTTCATAACAGAGTAAACGTATGGATATATTTTCTACATTCATATCACACGAATCGACCTTTCAGTCTTTTCTCTATCCCTCTTTACAAGTCCTTCTTAATGTCGAAGCAGCAGTAGTGACACGTCCTACCGGGTCACGAATTAAAGCACCAAAAAGCATACACGCACATTGGTAGAGCACATATGTCTTGAAAGATATTCAAAACACGTCAAATAAAAAGTATAATTTTACTTATCATATCAAATTTAACAAGTTTAACAATCCAATTCAATAGATACATGAGAAGAAACATTCATACAGTTGGACTTGTTTTATTTATATTGTGCAATACTATGCCTTCTCTGTGTCTATTTGAGTTGACGTCATTCGATATTTGAATCACCATAACAACTGCAGAAATAACAGCAAGGATCTAAAACAAACATTCCAATAAATGATGGAATAAAAATACAACAAACTAATCAGTATAATACCATTTTATGAACTATTAAAAGGTAGATGGATACTTAGTCTTACTTAACATCCATTAGCTGTATGTATAATACATATTTATATTACATACCATATAATTGTACTACTTTGTTGTACTAGTATTTTACTCACCATATATGTGTTTCCTCATAAGTGCACATACATTTCTTTCACAAATAATCCTTCATCGAAAATTCTAGTGATTGAAGCACGTGTTTTGTCTATGTCAATAGATTTTATAATTGGTTGTCTTTTGTTTACACGAGCTCGAAATTGAACTTTAAACAGTGCAAATGGTTAAAAAGAAAACGATATAAATAACATTATATATATTTCTATAATTGTTTCTTAAAAGAATAAATGTGAAAACTTCCACAACTTGGTTGAAGAAAAAAATAAATTATATTCTTAAACTAAAATTTATAATATATCATATTACTCTCTTTTTAATCTGTTGCATATTATTTATTCTAATATGACGTTCTTCAAACGCTTTGAGTACACACCCGTGGTAAAATATGAATATATTGAAATGTCAACTGATTGTCAACGTCATGGATTGTTTGGGCTGTTCCAATCTTACTCCCACGTCGTTTGCTTTTTATGAATGAATTACCCGAGGTCAGACGGTGTATTTCACGTCATTAAACGATGACATAAGAACGTAAGCATTCTACGGGAAAATGCACGAACTTGAAACTAAAAGTTGTCAAAACATGAAAACATAAACAAACAACGATAAGAATTTATTAAAAGCCCATTTTCTTAAATAGATGTAAGATAATCAACCAACAGTCAATCAATCCAAACCTGTCTTAGTATGTTATTGTAAATCATTTAAGCATGTCACTTATTCAGTTTTACGTCAATATTAATAGTGTGTTCAATTACGGGAACTGCAAACATTTCCCTGTTTCGTAAAGTTGATATGATTCAAACAAGGGGAAATAAATCTCTTTTTTTGGACGAGTTTTTTTCTTCTTGTTTGCTTATCATTGCTGGACAATACTCTTAGTGACTTTCCTGTTCTTCATTATGATGAATACAAAATATATTTCATTTTGAAAATCTATGTATTTTTATTGCCATTAATTAAAAATAATAAATGCGCAGTTTTATATCTGCAAACTACTTGACTATAGGTTTTTCTATCACTTATATCAAATTTTATTAAAATTTGACCATGTTTAAAAGCTGCCTGAAAGACATATACATGTACCATATCTGGTTAAACAAAGTTCAACATTGATATCTCACCTCTACCAGTAAGATGAGTGTACATATTGATATAAATGTTGTACTGTACGTAGTTAAAATCTTTTCTATAGCCGTATAACATCCCTGTAAAATGTTAAAGACATTTACGAGATCTTTGAGGGAATCTTAAATTACATATCATATTGCAAAATTTATCAATTATAGTCATAATTAGAAAATTTTAAACACTCAAACATCAATTTTTATTAGTAACTTGTCTTCAGATTTTGTGTAGTACTAATTTTTAACTGAATGTCATTCATAGACACATATACCATTATGTTTAGGTAGTTTTAAGTAATATTTGGTTCTATTATTACCTAAGATAAAATTATTCGTCACTTCTTAGATACCACTAGTTTGTTTACTAGGTGTGACTTAAGAGTTAAAGTACAAATAGTACTCGACTGAAATACATTTAATATGAAATAAATCAGTTGACAAAGAAATCAAAATGAAAATTCTTTATATGTAAAACAATTGTTTAACTCATACGGGAGAGCAATTGTTGCAGCATAAAAATATCTTAACGAGCGCTGCGGCGGAAGTAACGAGAAACTGTTTAATTATAGAGAAATGTTCCAAGCTTTTAACCGAAAAAAGTTTTTACGCAGTTGAAGTCACTTTTGGGAGGGCAGTACGACATTTTCGCCAATGACACATACACATATATACTTGTCATAGGATTAGCCCGAGAGGTTCCATAACAATTTATTTCAACTAAAATTGAAGGAAAAAAACTTGTGAATTCTTACTCAGACTGTATATAAATGTAATTTCGTCTACCTACTTGTAAATGTATGACACGTCACAATCTTTCTTAAATCGGTACGGTGCTCTGTTACTTATTGTGTCTATAATGATGTTCTTTATACTTACGGTTTCATAGTAAGAATTTGAACTTGTTGGAGTAATAGTGCAGTTTGTACCATACAGTGATGATGCTGTGTCAATTTTCGCTTCTTTACAACACCAACCAGGAATGACGTCGGTACCACGTGTTGTTGATGCCCAAGTTGTTGTTGAAAAATCGTCAACAGAAGATTGTGTATTTACTCCACAGCAATCAAACTGGAACATAAGAACCATAATTTATCTGTATCTTATTGGTTTTTTTTTTATATTTTAATTTTTTTTGTCCCTAGTAGTGACTTAGAGTTAGAGCGAAGAACATGCAAATCTCGACCATCCTGTCACATTCTTACAGTTTATGGTGAATTCGTATGAAACTTATATGAAAGGTTTATATATATGTAATATAGAAGTCTATAAAAGGACCAACCAGCAAATTTAATATGTACAGTAATAACATCATCCTCGTATATTACCATCTTATATTAGTACAGTTGCGCAAATCTTACGACTTATATATATATGCATACATGTACCAACGACAACTAGATCAAATGCTGGCTGAAACACGTAAAAATAGATATGTAACTAATGTGTACCTCTTGGCAAAAATAAATTGTGTAAAAAAAATCCTCATTAGCGCTCTCCGCCTTGCATTTTTTGACGGAGAAAACCAGCGCCATATCAAATTATTAGAATTACACCTTTTTTTTCAAACACATTGAAAAATGGTTATATAAATATCAAAAAATGATAATTACAAAATTACCGATCCGCAGCGGAAATTTTAAAAAGGGGGTAGTCCATAAAAACTGACAGAACCAGACGCGCCACTATATCAACAACAAAAAAACGAATGGAAAATAACTGTCATATTCCTGACTGGGAACAGGCATTTTCCGATGAAATCAACTTTGCAAATTTTGACGCATTATAAATGCCCATACTGTAAGAGCTGTCATGCTTACAGCATGCAGATGATGATTATGAACCAAAGTAATATTTTAAGCATATAATGCGTCCATTAACAACACAATGCGACAGGGGAACTTGATAACTGTTCTTATAATTTTATAGAAATACTGTTTTTATTTCAATACATTTCAATAACAAAATCAACAATGATCTCCCTTAATTGATAAATACAGTTTAGCTTACCTGAAGATAGATAAAGTTTAGCTTACCAGAAGATATATAAAGTTAAGCTTACCAGAAGATAAATAAAGTTTAGCTTACCAGAAGAAAAACAAAATTCCATGCAATTGTTAGAATATCCTCAGTGTTTCCCTCGTAATCTTTCAGCAGTTTCAACAATGTACTCTTTATCGTTTCATTTAACTGTGAAATAAACAAAGTTTTTCACAGATATAATACTACACCGAATCCTCGCACAACAGATTGCATTTATCTTCTTGAAATAATGTTTATAGCTCACTTCGATGAAAGAAATGAGCATGAAACAATTCTCTCAATATTAACTGTAAAATAATCATGTATCAGATTAAGAGTAATTCATTTCTGGTCTTCCTCTTATAAAACAAGAGTTGGAAGGTCTTTATATCCCTTTTGTACATTTAAACATCATTTTAAAGTCTTTAAATACAATGGCGATCCTGTAATATACATTCCGTAAACCTTTATGCAGCATTATATATTTGAAGTAACTATGTTTAACCTCACTTTCTGCAGCATGATATATTTGTAGTAACTATGTTTAACCTCACTTTATGCAGCATTATATATTTGTAGTAACTATGTTTAACCTCACTTTCTGCAGCATGATATATTTGTAGTAACTATGTTTAACCTCACTTTATGCAGCATTATATATTTGTAGTAACTATGTTTAACCTCACTTTCTGCAGCATGATATATTTGTAGTAACTATGTTTAACTTCACTTTATGCAGCATGATATATTTGTAGTAACTATGTTTAACCTCACTTTATGCAGCATTATATATTTGTAGTAACTATGTTTAACCTCACTTTCTGCAGCATGATATATTTGTAGTAACTATGTTTAACCTCACTTTATGCAGCATGATATATTTGTAGTAACTATGTTTAACCTCACTTTATGCAGCATTATATATTTGTAGTAACTATATGTTTAACCTCACTTTCTGCAGCATGATATATTTGTAGTATCTATGTTTAACCTCACTTTACGCACCTCACTTTATGCAGCATGATATATTTGTAGTAACTATGTTTAACCTCACTTTATGCAGCATTATATACTTGTAGTAACTATGTTTAACCTCACTTTCTGCAGCATGATATATTTGTAGTAACTATGTTTAACCTCACTTTATGCAGCATTATATATTTGTAGTAACTATGTTTAACCTCACTTTCTGCAGCATGATATATTTGTAGTAACTATGTTTAACCTCACTTTATGCAGCATTATATATTTTTAGTAACTATGTTTAACCTCACTTTCTGCAGCATGATATATTTGTAGTGACTATGTTTAACCTCACTTTATGCAGCATTATATATTTGTAGTAACTATGTTTAACCTCACTTTCTCTCGGTTGATAATACTTTACGTAATTTATTGAAATTTGTATATCATTTTCATCCTAATATTAAACTCATTTTCAAATTCAACCCATTTTTTTCTATAAATGAAAATATATTAATTAATAGAAAATAAGGTAAAAGATTTAGATCTCATTTATTCAAAAAATTACTTTGAACATTTTTAAATCTGTATATCCCGTCACTTACTCTCCGCTAGCTCTCATTATTTATCCTATTAACAATGCCTTAATGTGGTCTGGGTGTCGTCCACCATCTTCGATTGTAAAATAGCAGAACATAATAAGACTGTTATTTTGATAAGCTTAGCAAATTTCGATGTAGGAATGGAACTTACTCAAGAATTTTCATTTAAATGGGGAATGTGTCAAGGAGACAACAACCGACAAAAGAGCAGAAAACAGTCCAAGGCCACCAATTGGTCTTCAACACAGCGAGAAAATCTGGCGCCCAGAGGCGGGCTTCAGCTGTCCCTAAACAATGATGTTAACTAGTTCAGCGAAATGGATGTCATACTAAACTACGAAACATACAAATGAAGCAAAATTAAAAAAAAACATACAATACTAACAAAGGCTAGAGGTTCCTGAGTTGAGACAGGCATTCTGAAAGCATGTTATGAGAGCTATCTTCTCATATTTTATTTCAAAGTTTTATCATCTAGTTTACCATCTTTTCACATTATGATGCTTTTTCTCTGTATAATCAATACAAAATGTGTCATTTTTTCACAACCCGTAGCTTGTAAACAAGCTCGGTGACCTATCGTTTTTATTATATTTTTGATCATATCACAACACATACTACATTTTTGCAAAGTATGAAAATTTTTTTACCATTTTTCATTTATACTCCCATACCATTTAATGCATGTTTCAAGGATCTAAAATTTAAGAGTAATGCCTAATGTTACATACACCGCCAGTTGGCATGGCTATAGAAATATGGTCACCTCGACTTTTTCCGTTCGCCATTCAAAAAAACGCAGCCACGTTCGACCGGAATGGGGATATTGAATCCTATACTTCGTTTATGAAAGGTGTCACACGCTCTGCAAGGACACCTGCAACATCTCTTGGAGAGATTCATGTGTGTTTTGTCGTAGAGCAAATATTCTACCCATATTCAACATACACTTTTCCCGTGGCAAACATATTTTTCTGTCCTTCATCTCGGCTGTCCCACCTTACAAATGCTATGCCTTCCTTTTTGTACGGGTATTGTTAATAAAACGTTCTCGTCCTAAATGTCATGAACTGTTTGCATTTGACGATAAGCAAAAAACTATCAATTAAATTTATACTAAAGATGACGTGAAATTTACAAATACTAGTTAGTTAGAAGACTTTAATGTTTCTATGCAATAGTTATCTTTTGTAACATGGTCCATGGTTTAGATGGTAATGACACTTTAATCTCCGATTAATGTAGCCAAAATGTCACTGTGATGATCTCTGTTTCTATGCATACAATTACCTCTTTCTTTAAATCAGTCCATGCTTTCAGTACAAATATCTCAGCTGCTCCAATAAGGACCACTCCTATTCCATACTAGAAAATAAAATTAAAATCCTTACATCACTTACAATGAATTACTAAATAATTTTGATATTTTAGGAGAGAGAGGATTATGGAAGACTTGTGTTACATATTTGTTTTTCGTTCATTTTTTGTACACAAATTAGGCCGTTAGTTTTCTCGTTTGAATTGTTTTACATTGTCATTTCGGGGTCTTTTATAGCTGAATGTACGGTATGGGCTTTGCTCATTGTTGAAGGCCGTACGGTGACCTATAGGTGTTAATTTCTGTGTCATTTGGTCTCTTGTGAAGAGTTGTCTCATTGGTAATCATACCACATCTTCTTTTTTATATTTTATCACCTGAAATTTGCCTAGTATGAGCCACAGGAATTACTGAATGTTCACTATTATCTCTTTGTGGGCCTATTTGCTCAATTTTCTGTTTTCTTTGCTGTATTCCTTTTTTGTTGTTTGTCTTTTCGCCCTTTTTAGTCACGGTTTCTGTCCTTTGACTTATGATTTTTATACTCCTTGATTGATATATCCCGTTTAAACCCTAAAATGAAAGACAAGTTGTCTACCTCAAAATCTGCATAACTTCATTTTTAAAAAGTAATATACTACCCAAACTTTTTTTTACCTCACTTTAAAACTGACCTATATGTTTAAATTGTTACATACTCTTACAATCAAACCCATAAACCTAAAATACCGGTTCTCTTAAAATAATAGATGGAGAATAGTGTACGTGTTCTAAAAGTCATCAAAGGTGGCAGGCTTGTAATATAGTACGCTAGACTCGCGATTCGTCTACGCAGAAAGGTAAAAAATGTTAGTTGTTCTAATGGTTATAAAGTCGTAAATCCATTTTGGAAACACAACCATATCAATAAAAAAGAAAGAAAGAAAGAAACCCCTGATGATATCAAATGTTTTGACGGGAAAAATGGAAAACGTATTAAAAGGAACAAAAGAAATGAAACATTGGAAAGCAGGCTATGTTATGATTTTAGTAACTTACAATTATTAATAATACTCTGTTTTTACAACAGGCTCCGAAACCTCCGATCGTAGATAATGTAAAGGCTATTATCCCAATGATTATGACAAGTATAGCTATTGCTTCCAGCAAATCTCCCATTGTAAAACCAGGACCAATTCCTATCTCATTCAGAAGTGGTAAAACTTTATCATTGACAGTCTCACTTTTCTCTCGTAACATGCCACCAGCAATGATTAAACCGAGTCCTAGGATCTGAAAAGGAGAAAATATTTAAAAAACGTAATAGAATATATAATCTCCGATATTTCAAGTATTGTGATATGTAACAATTCATTAATGAAATATTCCAAAAATCGAAAATTCACAGTTTTCATGCCAAACTCATTGTTTAAGATTTATGGTCCCTATATTTCCTAGTTATGGAAAGTTTATTCACGATATTATTTCTCATGGTTATACAGCTGTATATGCAAATTTAAGATTAGTTGAAAATGTTGCTTTTAGAACAAATTCCTAACGTACAAACCTCACTTAAATTGTTCTGTTTAATTTATATGTGATATGTGGCGAACTCCAGATAAAATCAATAAAAAAATACTAACAAAATCCAATGATATGAAGCAACGATAAATGCTTTTGACTTTAAGCCACTTGGAGTAATCAAAACGACATTTATTCGAACAAAAGTATAGAATGCAGTTGAATCGATAAAACACCACATATACATGTACATGTATGTGAAATAATCGATTTGACCTAATCTTATAATTGTTAATAAAATATTATAACGGGATTGTTACCTTTTCACGGATATTTTTTTTTTGTAACAAAAATAAATGCCTTTTTATATTTCGACCTGTATGTCGACATAACTTTTAATTTGTTGTATTCACACGTAGACAATATTTGTTTGTTTTGAAAGTTCCCATGACAATTAGTACGGTGTGCTCGAAAACTTCGTTTTTGAAAATGATAGGACTCGGGAAATTTTATCATGCTTAGGACTTTAAGTGACACTGGATATATGGGTATTCGAAGAGTTTTATGTACTGTATGTATACAACTATTGCAACTACATAATGTTAATTATCAAGGGAGAAAATGCATCATTTATTTCAAGCTATTAACGAAGACATAGTACTGACTACTGGAGTTCTTTAATTGATCTAGTAACTGACAAGGTTTCATTGAAAACAGCAATGAAAGCGGTGTTGCTTTGGTATAATTTGGTTGTTCTAGGTAAATGGCGGGAATTTGTCTCTTGTTCATCCATCCCCATAATGCTTTTGTCCAACGACATCCAGTTTGTAGTCAAAATTAACTAGCTTATTCAATTTTAACTAGTTTATTTTAGTTATTTTTATAGGTTCAGTTTCCACTCTCTCTTTCAAACTGGATCCCTTGTGTATGTTACTTATTTTGTATTCGGGTTCTAAAACGTTTTGATTTGAGCGTACATGAATTAAAAAAGACCAGTAATACAAACACTAATATTTCATAATTGTCGGCAGATTGAATTAAAAACCCTATTAAAAGTCAGAAATTAAAGCACTTCGGCGATTTCATGGATTAAACACAAGTATACAATTTTTATTATATAATATATGTTTATTTAAAAATTTATATATGAGTAAAATACCACGAGAAGATATAAACTTGTAATGAGTTTAAATTGTCTTTGTCTGTTGTGTTAGGCCTTTCTTTCTTCGGTATTACGTTTGTATATGTATAGTATATGTATATGTATAGTATATGTATATGTATACGTATAGTATATGTATATGTATAGTATATGTATATGTATAGTATATGTATATGTATATGTATATGTATATGTATAGTATATGTATATGTATAGTACCAGATTCTAATATAATTTTTTGATATCTTGTATAAAAAGTTATTTCTGAGGTGATACATGTTTTAATGAATTTCACAATCCAAATGTTTCTAAAAATGTTAAATATAAAATCACATTTCCACACCAAAAATAGTAGCAAACGTTTTACATAACTAATTGTGTCTCTCATTTTGTAAGGTTACTATACAATTGATGATTGATTGATTGTTGGTGTTTAGCGCCACTTTCAGCACGTTAGGCTATATCGTGGCGGTCAGTTTTTTTTATTTTTTGGTGGAGGAAGCTGCGGTACCCGAAAAGAAACACCGACATTCAGCAGGCAAACTGGCAATCCTAGTCAATTAAGATCGAAGTCGAACAAACCTCCTACCAGCGAGATAAGAACTAACAACCTCAGTGTTCATAGGCTATAGAAATTTCTGTAGATAAACTACTTAGATCTCGGATCCAGGCCTATGAGGATATACGATAGAAATCGTTAATATCAACTTACAACAAATGTAATATTGAGAACGATGAGGAACACCATTCCAGCTGTACCAAAGATGTTCATGTTGAGGACCTGAATAATTCCTATTATATAAAGGCTGCCAATGTTTCTTTTACGTCCATCCACTGTTATCTGAAATTGAAATATATGTATCCTCAACTCATTGTGAACTGTATATTATATAAATTATTCGTCAATAATTATTTTGCTGGTTTTTTTTCTATGCGGATGGTGCCATATGAATCTGATTACTTAAAATATGCACTGCGACCTTTACAATTATTATTTGAAATTACATCATGAGGTAAGAGAATCAGAAATATGGAGTGATACATAGTTTCCCAGTAGAAGAGAAAACCAACAAAGACTATAATTGTGCGTATTGTACTAAAAGGCCCAGGAACTTTTTTGTTTTACAACTAGTCGTATACATAGTTAAATAAACAAACACATTTGGCAATAAATATAGTTTTAACTTATTTTACATGTCATGGTAAAATAAATATACCTGTTCACATTTAAACTTGTTTTACATCCAATTAAGTTAAGCGGAAAGATTTGTTCTTGAGACGAAATATGGGTTACATGTCCATGAGACAGCTACACAACGACTGTCTTCAACTATAAAGCAATACTCAGGGTAAATCAAGCCGAATTAAAAAAATTCTCACAGTAACTTATACATTACAATCATGTATCGATTTAATAATGTCTGTAGAGATTTTTCCATAAAAAGATTGGTGCTTGATAGTGTCTTGTTGTCTGTTCAGGTGAAAAATCCATTTTGGTGTGCTGTGAGTAGAGGCATGAAAATTATATGCATTTTTATAAATTCATTAATAAAAAAACTGCGTTATGTATAATTGACGGTATACCGTTAGTATATATGTTTTTATATGACCGTCATGTTTATATCAAACCAGTTTACAGTGAGTATTGATTTCAGTGAAAAAGCCTTAAATGCAATATTTTGTACATGTTCATGATGCAGAACTTCTAAGACTGATTCAGACAAAGTCGATTATTCATATTTATGGTTGAAAATAAATATCATCAAAAAGTGCCATCGTATCCCAAATGTTTATTATTTGCATAGAAACTTGAATTACTTACCTGTGATGTAATAAGTCATATGCAAACATCGTATTATCCGGCATTCATCTTCCATAATAGTTCATTTTTATCAGATAAAATATTTAGTTATATAGTAGTGTGATTTTATGTCCCAGGTATGTATAGAACTTTAATGGATATTTTCCCATTACATTTATAACTAAAGCTGGTAGAAATACACACTTTGTAGGTGTGTTTACTATTTAAATATTTATAAAGGTCACTGGACAGTGACCGATATATAAGTTGAAAACATATACTGTTCTATCTTTTATTAATTATAAACAGTTAAGTGCAAATGGAAATGCAAAACTCGTTTTTCCCAAACGAAAATATAGTTGCACTAGTATAGCATTCACAGCTATGCATTTGTAGGGCGTGCTTTTATATTTAAAAAAGATAATATTTCATAAAATATGAAAACAGATTTTTAGAGTAGGAAGACCAGACGCTGGCTTTGTTTCACGTATTGTTTGGCTGTTTTGGTGTCATCATTGTAGACGAGGAATTACAAATGGGACCAAATGTGATACTTGACTGGCATACTTATTCTATATATTTTAATGATTTTGAACCTTCTTTACAAAGTATATGCCCTTTTTTTTATTTCCATCCATCTTGGTGGTATGTATATTTTGATATAACACAGGATTTTACGACATATCATATAGATATGCAAAGGTGGTGGATTGAGCGCATGTAAAACTATTTGAACTTCAGCACATTGTGAACCTGTGCCACATCAGGCTGTCTTAACAATGTGTTGTTCGTTGTTGTGTATCTTTGTTTGTTTGGCTGTTTTTTTCAGGAGTCGGGGTCTTGATTGTTGATGCGGTCTGTTGTACTATACGGTATTTTTTTGCGATTCCTTTTATCCTTTTAAAGTTATTGTAAACACGGGACAAAATTTCACGTAAGTGCCGTATTACAATGTAGTTAGCATTTATGAGATTTGCACATTGAAATGAATTATACTAAATTACAATAGCAGTCAACGTCTGGTGGGGTGTTTTTTTTTATGAAAACGACGTCCAAAGTTTTACATAAGTGTGGAATACCTTTTACTTTTTTTCATCTGTTTTATCAGCTAAGACTACAAACCAGAAAGATGTCTAAATCTAAACATCTAGACAGACCAGTTTTTGTATACTTAACTACAATGAAATTTACATGATCGGTTTTGAATGCAGGAAATCACGTGTACGAAAATGCGATTTGTTATATGAAATTCAAGATTCATCTGCGTCTTGTCAAACAATGACTTCTGTTTTATGTGATATTTGCAGATCGATTTTCTATTTTTTTTTCATTAAAAACCAGAATAATGTTAATTAAAAAAGCAAGATTATGTCGTTCCATAAGGTAAATATATAGATAGTATAGACTTTATGTATATAATGAAACTGCAAAAAATTATGATCGTATTTGTTCCTAACAAATGTGTTATGCATTTGGCTTTCTAAGCTGTTGGTTTTGAGTATCCTGTGTCTTGTGTACTGGACATCAATGTTTCATGTTTATACTATCTTACAATCTACTCTAACAGTGTTTTCATGGGAAGACCAATATAAATCATCACTTTACCAGCTCTTCAGTCGCCATTATACATTGACTGTTCTGTTGTTTTTCTTTTTGTCTTAATTTACTACTTGCTCGTCATAGACCAGATATCTCCTTCCTAATCCGCGATCCTCCATCCGACATGTTTACTGAACTTACCTGTGCATGACCAAAATACTTGCAACTGCACATTTGGTCATGTAGTAGGGTTAAAGAATTGTACTGATGGTTAAAACTTTATTAATTTGGTCAGTTGAATATGGTTAAACCATATTCATTTCTAAATCTGCTATTGCAAGACTCACTAACAAATGTAAAAAGAAGTAGCAGGATGTATATTTTGCCTCCCAAATTTATGGAATCGGGCATATGCTGATGGTTAGTCGGATAAACTTACCGACATAGATGTCTTAATATTAGAGGGAAGCAATCCCAATGCAAGAGTTTAATAGACTGATTCGTTATGACAAGACTATAGATTTTGATCAAATATCATATCGTTTTAGACTTTTCAAAATCGCCCTTTTGTACTATTGATACATATAAGATATAAAGTAGAAGTCAACGTTTTTCTACTGACACCAAATGTTGATCTGGTTATGGTTAAATATATGTGTAGCTTTAGGATAAATTCAGAGAAACAGTGACCAAGAAACCAAAGAAATAAAGACGAAATAGTCCTGGACTTACTTTGACAAGGACGAAAAAAGTAGCAAACGGAAGAATAATACGTAACCAGACTTTATATCACAGGATACATACAATTTTGTTATTGAGTTTTGATCTAATCAATGATATTTCTGATTAAAACTAGGTTCATTCATAACTTGTTTGGTATGTTTTTATGCAAGTTTGTTAACATTTCAATGCTTGTTGAGATCCACGGTTTGTTTACAGAATAGTAAGATGCAATTGGATAACAGATGCATGTTCAATTTCATTTCCCAACGCATTCGGTATTCAAGAGCTTGCAGCTGCTACTCAGACTTTATAAAACGTCACCAGTGTCTGAGCAGAAAGTTGATGAACCAGGGTTATATCAAACAAAGTATCGTCCTTTTCCTAAAAAAGTTCATTGGATGATACCAAAACCTTGTTGATAAATATTCCGTATCAACTTCACAAATAATACATGATGGTCTTGAAGTATAGATTCTAGGTACTGACGTTGTTTATCATCTTAATTACGTGTTATAGTGTTCTTTTTATTTGTCTTTGTATATTTTTAACCTTTACTGTTTAGTCCATTTTTGCTAATATACTTTTGACGTGGCTCGGTATTTATACATCCCGTCATTGTGTTATTGTGCTATCATGGTCGTTTTTTGTATTCTTGTCTTTCATTTGTGCTTATGTACTTTTTCTATAGAGTGTCTATATGCCATTTTGTTTTTCTTTGTTGAAATAATTATTTGTTTTTATAGTGAATAAGATTATAACACAATGTTGACTGCTGTACCCCAATTTTTGACAATTTTACCTATTATGTCTGTTTGTTTTGCTCACACATTGTTGTCAATATAATGAAATTCTATGCGACTGTCATACAAGTGAAAGATTTGGCTAGCTATAAAACCAGGTTTAATGCACCATTTTCTATATAAGGAAATGCTTGTACCAAGTCAGGAATATGACAGTTGTTTTCCATTTGTATGATGTGTTTGAGCTTTTGATTTTGCCATAAAGGACTTTCCGTTTTGAATTTTCCTTGGAGTTCGGTATTTTCGGTATTTTACTTTTTTCATAATATATTTTGTATAAGCATGAAAACATTTCGATTCACTACTGATCATACATTAATCAATTTTAACTCTTAGTGATGGACTTCTGATATAATATATTTTACTGGTTTGATTTATTGAAGTAGGTTTCTTTATTATTAAAAGATGAATGAAATCATAATTACATAGTATTACATAAATCTTTGAATGAACATACTATTGTAGAAAAGATTGAAAGCTTTGACATGAATGCATTATCTTTGATAATACGCAATTACATCTTTTTTAGGAAATATACTTCCACATTAATTTCAAATGACTTTTTTTTTCTCAAAACAAATCGTTTGAAAATGTATTTAAGCATTGTCTTTATGTTTGATCCATCTCTTGTTGGCATTCTTTCTCTCATTGTTTGAATGTTCCAGATCAGCAGATATCTGGCGACACATGCAAAACGATGCTATAACTGCTATCATCTATATTAACAAGTAAAACAAAAAAAAATTGCTGTCATATACTGTCATATGGCAAAAACAAGCATTTTCTACCTTGAATACCAACACTTTTAACTACAAAAGCGCACATTATGACTTTTATATTTGTTTGATTCTGTTATGTGTGTTGCAGTGGTTGCCTTTGGATACATCTAAATGTTTCTTTTTCTTGCAAGAATTGTGTGTTAATGGAAGATCTTTGGTGACCCCTATTAAACCTATTGTCAACTTGTCATTAATTGTATAGTCATTTTTTGTATTATCGTAGACCGTAGGTCGACCATTAGATATCTTTTCTTATGTGTGTGTGTCACGGTGTGCGTGTGTGTGTGTGCGTGTGTGTGTGTGCGTGTGTGTGTGTGCTCTGATGAATTGCTGTCTCATTGGCATATACCCCAGATCTCCAGTTATTCATATTGATATAAATAAACATTTTAAAAGAGAGAAATGAAGGCCGTTTCAGATACCAGGAAGCACTCGCATATAAAATACAGATACTTCAATTAGGGGTCATCAGTATGCATTCCCGACAAGTGACAACATACTATTTGCAGTGTTTGGTATCCATAACATAATTTATTACACAGTTCTGAAATTTTGTTACATTTTTTTTTTTTAATTGCTGTTTTATTATATGACATGGTGTATTTTTGAATCAGAGATGTATCAATGTTTTATGCTATATGTATGTTCTATTTATGGTAGCACTACCGCTTATATTATGAAAATGCAGTGGTTTCTGTTAAAAATGCTGGATTGTCGTCACCAGCGGAGATATAAATACTAATGGTGTACTAAAAGAAAGAAGATTTCCATTAGCTACTAGTATTGCTTGAACACACGTTTACTCATTTTACATATTCAGAAATATTAAGCAGGTGCCATGATACATGTATATGGAGAAAATCTTAGGGTTATTTTTCGTAACTTCATATTTTAGTTACTAGCGCTTTTAGTTTTTTTCGACAACCAAGTTGTTTACTGTGCATAAATCAGAACAAGGTACAAGCTTCAAACCTGTGTCTCATGTTTCTAATATCATGTCCAATTATGGAATAATCATCGGATCTATTTCAGTTCTAATGACCTTATGAATCAAAAATTCTTTGTTACTCAGAAAGGATTATCAAATTGTCCTTGGTCTGTGATGATCTATCTTACCTCAACTGCAAAGACTGCAAATGATGCAGAAATGAATATACTGCTGTACTCCTCGACTGCTTCTTCGATAGATGTGTAACATCCCTGAAATAATCAGGCATACATATGTTAAGATAAGATAAAAATAATAGCTGGGCAAATATTCTGATCATATGGTTTTCAAGCCCTTTGAACGTTCTTCGTTGGATTGTCTTGTCTTCGTCGTGCTTTTTCTGACATCGGCGTCAGCGAAATCAACGATTGTTATAGTTTGTTATTTTGTCAGTTTGAGAGGAACCACTTATTATATGTCAATGATATTTTGTATGCACTTCTATGAACATTTACAAAATTTTATTTCAGTGAGTATTGTTTGATACCGCCCTTCAGCTGCTCTAATAACTTTGGAAATTTTATAAAGTAAAAGTCTGTTATTAGTTCAGTTTAAGAGAGACCATGAATAGTCAATAATCTCTGGTATGCAGTTGTAATAGCATCGGTACGTCTCATTTTCATGAAACTTTTGCATAGTTTATACATGTTGCATGTACTGTAGTCAGGATGGCGATCCTTTTATTTTGACAAGTGTACATATTTCATTCAAATTTCAACGTGACACATATCTGTGTCTGTCAGTTTATTGTAGAGCATTTGCACCCAAAAGTATGCCCAGCTAGAACAAAACTGAAAATATATTAGTTAATATATTACGACATCCCTCTCTTTATATGATATGAAACAAACCAAATTAAGAAAAATACATAAACACACAAAGACCAGTTGAATCTCAGGTTTGAGTGTCATTGCATAATTTTCTAATAATACGAATATTAATTTACTTTATGCGAAATAAATATACAAACCTCACCATAGTAAGAGTTCAATGATGTTGGATTGGTGGTGCATTCTTTACCGGCCAACAGTAGCCCAGAGAGATAATCTGCTTCCTTACAGCAGTACCCTGGTATAATCTGTGATCCACGGGTGGAATTCCAAATTGACATGGAAAAATCATCTGTTTCTGATTGTTTGTTCACTCCACAGCATTCAAACTTATAAATGAAAAGTTGGTGTGAGTTACAAAATAAAAATAACATTGTATAAATTTGGTACGTCCTAATTCGAAACACTTTACGGGTTTACCTGCATCATGAACGCTCAAATAAAAAATTAAAAGTCACGGATTATAAATACTTGACGATATTTATATGACCAAAAAGGACCTAAAAGAATAGCAAAAACCATCAAAGGTCAACTTTGCCTGAGGGCAAGATTACAAGTTCGATATTTATGATTTATTATATACTTAGCAGCAAATACAGATAAATTGTATGTGTAGTACGGGCATCGGCAATCGTGCTGTATCAGCCATCCGTGATGATATCGATATCAGTCACGGTTGCAAAGGCTTTATCACACCTTTAATCTGTGGGTCATCTGTATGACGTCACGTCATCAATATCAGTCACGCAATGCTTTATCATATACTTATAGAAAATAATGGTATAATTGTACCCCATGATAAAACTTATTTGTACATATATTTATTCATTAAATTTGAAGAATTGCCTTAGCCGTGTGATATGACTTTTGTTATCAACTGCTTCCGGTTATATCAACTGCTTCCGTTTCATATCAACTGCTTCCGGTTATTATCGCATGCTTTTCTGTAACGTTATCGCATGACAGTTCGACGTCATTCGGCAAATTCCGGAAAATGTACCTCAATGGTACGTTTTTTTTAAGTAAAACATAACAAAGTTGGAGAAAAAGAAAATATTAATCAAGACAACGATTTGTATATTGTCACTATACAAATCCTTGATCAGGAAAATGTATTATTTAAAAAATACAAAACAAATATTACAACAAATGCATTGTTTCAAAGTTTTAAAAATAGTTTTGTCTGTATGTCTTCTGCTGAAGTATACGATAAAAAGAACATAATATGTCGTTTTTCATATCAGACCCCTTATCAGCCCATGGTCAAAATCATCCCTCGAGCCTGTCGGCTCTCAGGCTGATAACATGACCTAGGGCTGATAAGGGGTCTGATATGAAAAAGGCCATGTTATAATCTATATTTATCAAACTTCTAATCTGTACAACGTCATATCACATAAAAACATCTACTTGAGGTATATAATAAAGTGTATATGATATGGCTTTTTCGATATCACATACCGTATCAACCCTCAACCAATATAATCCCTCGAGCAGAGCTCTTGGGATTATATTGGTGTCTCGGGTTTATACGGATGTGATATTGAAAAAGCCATATGATATTCTCTATGTATATAATAAGTAATTTCTTTTAAAAGCACTAAACTCCGAAGCATATAAAAGAACTAAAATTTAAAAAAAGGTGTCGGTGTCCTGGGGAACGGGCATGATCTGGAGAAATTTGTCATTGCTGTTTTTTTTTGCCGATTGAGTCCAGATAGCATCCAGATCTTACCGAATGTGAACCGTCTTTGTTCTGGAACAGTCCCGATATTAATATGAAATTCGGCAATAATACCCACGTCGGAGTCCCGACAATTACAGAACACGATACGACGGAGTCCCGACAAAGCCGTTTGCAATGCGGTACAGCCGACTGTGCTAGGATTGCGTTCCGGTTTTTCCTGATCATCCCGAATAGGACGATTTTTTTATAGGACGGGACTATCACATGAAACGGTTTTCTAACGGATATCTTCGGTCGTTTTTTACCATGAGAAAGATACAAATCGAATTGAGAACGGGATAATCGGGACAAATTCGGCTGGAAACGGCTGAATTTGAACGCTTCCTGAACAATATCCGATTTTTGTCGTGATTAAATAAATGTTTTTACAAATTTGAATTAAAGTTTTAATTTCCAGCCGCGATTAATCGGATCTTGATCAGACTTCTGACAAATTTTAATCGGGAATGGTCCTATCATGGACGGCAGTAAAAATCGTGAATGTGTGACCCCGGGTTAATACAGATATTTTTTTCGTTAAAATCAAATACGTTGTTACATACACGAGCGAATCGAACAAGTTAAGGGCATACGATACTGTTACAGGGGAGGTAATGACGTCGCTAACGTAAAATGTTATTTTTCGCGACGTCAAACTGTGACATATCGAGAAAAGATGCATTTTTCGACTGACTTTTATCATTCAGACTGGTTTAACTTGAAAACGAGTTCATGGAAACCTTTTTTTTAAAATGACATTAGGCTTGATTATGTATGAAGATTATTTGTGAAAATTTTTATGAACAAATCACCGATGAAAGTTTTTTAAATTAGATAAATATAGAGTCAAAAATGACGTTTTTTTTTACTAAAACCATGAAAATATGATAAAAATAAATTATTTCCAAAAAATTGTTACACAAAGTCAAAACACATTTATGTAGAGAAGATATCCCAGATGCTTTTACAAAACTCCGCTTGCGTTTATCTTTTGAAACAAAAAAGTTAAGTATGTTTTTCCATTGGATAGAAATATCCAAGAAAACGAAATGCCCAGTAAATTTCTAAAATTTCGACCCCATTTATCTCTAAAAGTAGCACATAAAGGTATATTTTTTATTACATATTTGAATTGACTAGGTGAAAAATAGCTTGTATGCAAAAAATCACAGTCGGATCAAAACTGTATCGTATGCCCTTAAAATATATAAACATCATAAGATGGTGACAAGGGAACGTCACTATCTAAAAATGGATAATTAACAATAGGAAATGAAAAATCATCTGCTTTATCATAAATTTTGGTATCAAGCTTCCCGTTAAAGACACAGATATCAAGATCCAGGACAGGGCAGTGTTCATTGTTAGTATTAGCTTTATTTAAAGTCAGTTCACCAAGATAAATCTCTTTAGTGTTTACTCTAAAAACTACAATATATTGTTAGATGTAACTTCTGATATTTACAGTAACAAAAAGACCGTTCCAAGCCATGGTAATAATTCCACCAACGTTTCCTTCATAAGTAGACAGCAAACCAAGTAATGTCCCTTCAACGGTTTTGTTTACCTAAAATATGACAGAAAACGGAAAATAAAGCAAACGCAATCAATCTAACAACTGTGAGATCGTTATATAGACTCGACACAGTGGGCCAAAATCTGTATAATAAGAATAGACCCCACTTCTTTTTAAAGAATTTCATTACTTTTACAATGATTGTGTTAGAAATTAAAAATGTGATATTTATTGATTAAAATGAATTCTGAACTACCTGCAGATAAGTTAAAATCTTTCTCGTTTTACATTCAACCAGCACCATTTGAAAATTTAAGTTTAAACTGTTTTATAATACAAAGGTTTACAATTTTCCCATCCGATTACGATGGGCAAGTTTGTGATGGCGACCATAAACTTTTGCAATGATAACAAGTGTTAATTAAGTTCCCATTAATAACTCAATAACAAAGATATTTTGAAAGAATGGAGTTTGGAACTGTAGTAATTGTCTGAATGCGTCTCGTATTTTCAAACTTTCATATGCCATATAGGTGAAACAGTAGTGTTACTTTATATATTTGTATTAGAGGAAAATTTTCTTATATCGGGTACTTTTTTGTTTTGGTTTTCGTCAAGAAAACTGTAAAAGTCTGTTACAATTTATGTCAAATGATAGAAAAACAAAAATTGACCCAAATTTCAGTTTAAAAAATATCTGATTTATAGCTCAAAAGGTATTGTGCGGAAACGAAACTTTCACCAAAATTGATCGCTATTTGTTGACACTGCGACTCCAAAACCTCAAAGCATCAAACATCGCAATTTTGGCCAACTATCAGTTTACAAATTGCTGCATTGTCCTTAGATTTAGTGATCCAAAATGAAAACCGTTTTCTTCATCCCATTGTCTTTTACCAATAAAATTTCGGATAAGAGGACGACCAGATGGCATTTACTAAATTGTAAACTTTGCAGATGTCTGATTATGGATGTGTGATGACGAGCCAAATTATGAAGAGAGACCATAGAAAACAAAGATTGAACTGAGAATGAATACCTACATTACGAATAATTCTGATTTTTTAAGAAAACTGTTGAACAGGCTTCTTGTCTAAAAATTATACGTACTTCTTTTTTCACCTCCATAAGATAATACACAGCAACCATCTCTCCGGCAGAAACACATAATAAAATAATTGCATACTAAAAATAAATAAATATCGAATACAATGGGTTGTTTATGTTGCTACTTGTTGCTATGGTATACGTTTAGCCAATTACAGATAGTTTAAGCACGCGTTACAATGTATCGTTTTATGTGCTTGATAGAATTCACTAGACTGTTGTTGATATGGATGACTGACTATTATTGAAGACAGAAAGTTGACCTCTAGATGTATATCTTATGTTTGATTGTGTTGTTTGGTTACTATCTCGTTGCTATCTGCCCTATCAATCCTATATATTCTTATTTTTTCAACAAAGATCCTATAGTTTATCTGCAATTACTTAGCACATGCAGGAATTTACATCCCTATGTTAAATTCTACTCGAATTCCAATAAAACTTCAATTATATACTTAGACAGGACCATACTTAATGGTGAAATATTAATATAGAAAAATCAGTTTATAGTGCGGCAAGTACAAGCGCATATAAATGCTGAACTTACTAGTATGAGGAAAGGTCTCCATTTACAACAGGCCCCACAAAATCCTATAAAAGCAACACACGCCACTGCCACACCACTTGCTATTATTGCCATAGCAACAATTTCGAAGATCTCTTCCATATCAAAGTCTGGTCCAATGCCAACTTTTTTAAGTAGTGGAAGAATTTTATCCTCCAACAATGGAAAGCTGTCACCTCCGATAGTAGCACTATTTGATTTAAGCAACATTCCTCCAAAAATCATTCCTCCTCCAGCGGCCTGCAGTTACATCAAGATCAATCATTTAATTAAAATTGAGAATGGAAATGGGGAATGTGTCAAAAAGTAAATTAGTATCTTTAGTACCATGTCGAGAAAGTAGCAAAATGACGTCGAAACTTTGGAAGCAGAAAACACTAATTCAGCATATATTCAATTTAGTCTACGCTTTTTATTTAAATTGTATACTAACATCTTGATTAATTGTAAGCTGAAAAGCTCTTAAATGTTTGTATTAAAGCCAAAATTCAAAGATCCATATAAAGGAAAGATAGACAGGTTGACTGGCTTATCTTAAGCTCCCGGTTTCTGTTTTTTATAGACTCGAGACCATCTATGTTTTAATTTTTAGATCTGTAATTTTATCCTTTGTGTACTATTTCCGATTATAACATTTTGACTGAGTGAGAATTGTCATGGTGGGTGATCAATTATGCATAGTAGATATGTTATCACCGTTTCGACCACTTCCGGTCTTGCTCCTTTTGAAGTTCATGGGAATCTCTCAGTTTTTGCTTTTTACTTTGATGTGTCTCCTAATCGATTTATGGGATTTGAACATCGGTAAACTACCGTCGCATTAATCTGACATACTGCATAGACATATGTGTATTGTTGAAGACTGTATGTTATCCCCTAGTTTATACTTATATTGTTGGTTTATTTTCCCGTCCACGAATGCCTACATCTCCTTTTATTCAAATCGAAACATAACCTCCATAGTATTTTATGATATACACTTGGTCTGCAGAAGATTAATGGTATTTTTAAGGAATGATTTACAGAAAGAAGATACTGCAAACAAGAAAAAAAAGGAAATAAGAATTGAGATCTGTTTTATTGATGTTTACCTCACAGCCTATTATTCATATCATTTATATTCGTAGCTAAATTTCTATTTCAAACATTGATTGGAATGCTTAATCGAAAACAAATCACATGTAATAATGCAGTATTCTACTTCTCTTTATTCAAATCAGATCAATTCAAATTCAACATGTAAAATGTTTGTTTTTCTGTTGGCCATTTGCTTCATACGGTTTATTTGAATGTGAAAGTTTGCTATTGGAAAATATTAATAATTAGATAGGATGTGTTAACATCGTTTTCTGTGATTCTATTAATACCCCCATCACACTAGGACCACGATCCCGCTTCGATCACAGAAATCATGAAAGACTTTGGAAGTCGTAGTAAGATCGTGGTGGTCGTAGTAAGGACGTGCCTAGGTCTTCATGGTCGTGGAGGTCCACGACCAAATTAGAACATGCTCAAAACATTCGTAGTGTAGTCGTGGCCAAAACTAGTCGTAGTAGAAGCTTAGGAATGTCGTGTAAGGACGTAGTAAGATCTGATTAGCGTAGAAGCATCGTATTGGAAACGTAGTGCAATCGGGAGGCCAAATGGAAAAGATTTCGCTGCGACCTTTCTACGATTTCACTGCGACTTTCCCGTTTTCACTTCGTCTTTTTTACGCTTCTACTACGAGATTGATACGAGTATGCTACGATGAGAAAGACAATAGCACGCTGCTACTACGCGCTTGCCGTCTTTGTACTACCTTACTACGATACTACTACGTCCTAGCCACGATAATTGCATGACTTTATTCTGTTGATATGAAAAAAAAAACGGATGCAATATGTTTTGATACCTTAAGAGGCATGTTTTTTTAAGAAAACTGGTGTGTACAATGGGAAAGTCAAGATATTTATAGGGACGAAGAGCGCAGTGACAACTTAGGTGAAACAGAGTGGAGTCGTGGTTCGTAGTAGACTCGTATTGAGATCATAATGCGATCGGGAAGGTCTTGGTAGAAGCGTATAGAGATCGTGTAAGTCGTGTTTAGGTCTTATCAGACGTAGCAAAAGCGAGACAAGATCGTAACTAGAACGTGTTACCATCGTAGTGGAATCGTAGCAGGATCTTATCAGGATAATTGCAAGGTCATGGTATGAACGTGAAAACTATGAAATAATAAATATTCAAGCCGACCATAGCACGATCTAACCGCGATCTTATTTTTTATAGATCGTAGTGGGATCTTCGTGGTCTTGGTCTAGTGTGACGGGGGCTGTATGTTTGATTCTCTTCAAAATGTGTCAATGTTTTTTGCATTTGGAAATCCTAAAATTAATGTGTTCGAAAAATTGAATAAAAAGTTACTCGATTGAACACGGTATGAAGTAATTTATTCAAGATTATTTTTTAATGTAAAATATAGGATAACACACCCTTATATAAAAAGGATGAAGACACTTGTAAAGTGGTTTCTTTTGTGGAGTTTTAATTTCACGATTTCATGGCCAACATGTTCGTGAAAAGTTTAAAACTTAATTGTTTTGAGATTTTCCTGACCCTGAATCTGATCTTCTCTAAGATTAAACATATATCGATGTGCATGACGTACACCAATTAATTATCCGTCATCTTAGAGATTTTGACACAAGTCATATTAAACCATTCATTTCATCCTAAAATCTAGCTTTCACTTCCAACTTACCATAAAAAATAGGTTCAGCCATATCAAGAAACACATTCCACATTTTCCCATACAATTCATTTTCGATGTTTCTTTTTAGCAACAGCAACGCTCTTCTTAAAATGAGAATTTGTATTCTAAATTTATGTTTCTTTTTCACAACGCTCTTCTTAAAATGAGAACTTGTATTCTAAATTTACCCTTTTTATGAGAACTGGCAGTAAACTAGATTTCAAACTAAAGAAAATCATTTTAATCTTATCCCAAGAATGTAATTAACAACAGATCATATATAGAAATATTGTGGTTTTAAGATTTGGATTAACCTTGGAGGTGCTACCAGTTAATTAGAATACACACCTTCGTATGATAAGATTTTTAGTTTTATTGTTACGAAAAGATCTAGTAACTATTTATTTAACACCAATACATAAATGAATAACAAAATGTTGAAATTAAACCTTAAATTGTGACGATGTGTGCGTGTATTTTGGAAAAGATAGACTGTAGTATGTAACTTGCAAAACATGTAACAAATTCATTTAATCTACTATTTGTTTCCAATAATACTAATGAAGTATAGTTTAGTTGTCAGCCGACATTCACTGACAATTTATAAATATAAGTAAAGATATAGGGCAAACTGTAACTGCGGTATCCTTTATTTCAAGTTCAATATGATT